CCCGCTTCTGTGCCGATGTAGAGGCCAGGCTTTAAACCAGATTGCTGATCTAGGATTTGGATTAATGCTGGCAGCTAAAGGAAGAAACTTCGGTACACCTGGTTTTGTTCTGTTCTTTTTCATTCAGGCCTTTTAATTGATTTAGTTGCAGTTTTACATACACTTAACCAAGGGAAGAGATACTCTGCAACAGAAACAGGAATGTTAAGCCAGTTTCAACACTGAAGAAAATCCACAGTGAGTTTTATACCTGGGGTAATAAGAGCTGGGTTTGCTCCAGGCAAAAGGAAGTACTGGCAAAAGCTATCCCAGGAGCAAAGTTGCACAGGGGTTAGGCTACAGCAGAGGGCAGACACCCACAGCTGGGAGCAACAACCACTTGTTTACACTCCAGATGGAGACAAGATCCTTCTACAATCTCCGCTGCTTTTGTGGATTCAGGAGCAAGTCATCCATTGTAAATCCACATCCCTACCTGCATTCATACTTCCAGCATCACCCAGCTGCCCCATCCTATTCATTACTGACTGGATCTCCCCAGGAAAAATAATTATGAGGGGGAAAGTTCTTTTCACTTCTCCCCAAATATGGTACAGACAATGACATCGGAAGCTTTCTGCCACTTGGTGTTAGGTGAAGCAGTGGCTTGATTTGGCCACAGCCCTTGTTGTAACGGTGGCCTAAGCATGAGTAGAGAGCCTTTCTTACTACCAAATATGACCATGTAGGTAGCTTGAGGTATGTCTGCACAGTTCAGCTGAAGAAGACGGCTGAAATTCTTGACCCTTTCAATGGCTCATAGAACTGACACTTTGCTTTCCACATCATTCCTCTGAGGAAGGTAACATTTCTCCTAAAACTACTGTTATGCTACCATTCACACATAATCCAAATAGCACTGAATTTGGTTCAAAGCCCAGTATTGGTGAAGACAAAGAGTTTACTGCATATTATGTGTAGCATTCACCTCTGATACTTTAACAAACCCCTAAAAAACTTTGAAGTACATTGTGATATCCTTGCTGAATGTGTTTACAACCAATCTATAATGCATCTACTTTTCAGTGCATACCATTAAACACAACACCCCAACTTACTTTAGAGGCTCCATAGATTGTCAGCATTGGTGTCGGCTGACAACAGGACGCAGAAGAAACATTCACAATTGCCCCTCTCATCTTCTCTACCATGCGCGGCAGCACAATATGCATCATCATGTTAGCAGAAACAATATTTATGTTGATCATGTCCCACAGCACATCCTCTGACAGGTTGGTAAAATAGTCCGGGTAGGGATAAAACATTCCTACATTATTCACCAAAATGCCAATTTCTCTGTCTTTCAGAGCCTCCCTAATGGCTGGGTAAGGCTCACGCCCCTTGCTGAAGTCAGCTACTATGAAATCTGTTTCCACTTTATAGGTTTCAGATATGCTTCTAGATACAGACTCCAACTTCTCCTTGTTTCGGCTGATTAAGATGATGTTGACACCACGCTTTGCCAGTTCTTCAGCATACGCCTTCCCAATACCATCTGTGCTACCTGTAATAGAAAATAGAAAAACAAGGTGAAAGTCAGAACAGCCTCACCCTTGTCTTTTGGCAGTCCTTTCAATTATAGCTTGAAGATCTGAAGATCATGTGGCACTGAATATGGTGATCTCAAAACCACAATAAAGACAACGTCACAGAATCATTTAGGTTGGAAAAGACCTTTAAGATCGAGTCCAATCATTAACCCAGCACTGCCAAGTCCACCACTAAACCATGTCCCTCAGCACCACATCTACCCATCTCTGAAATACCTCCAGGGATGGTAACTCTAACATTTTCCTGGGTAGCCTATTCCAATGCTTAATAACCCTTCTGGTGTAGAATTTTTTCCTAATATCCATCCCAAACCTCCCCTGGCACAACTTGAGGCTATTTCCTTTTGTTCTATCACCTGTTCCTTGGGAGAAGAGACCGACCCCCCTGGCTACTCCCTCCTTTCAGGGAGTTGTAGAGAGCGAGGTCTCCCCTCAGCCTCCTTTTCTCCAGGCTGAACAACCCCAGCTCCCTCAGCCTCTTCTCACAAGACTTGTGCTCCAGACCCCTCACCAGCTTCATTGCTCTTCTCTGGACCCGCTCCAGCACCTCAATTTTTTCTTCTAGTGAGGAGCCCAAAACTGGACACAGCCCTCGAGGTGGGGCCTCACCAGTGCCAAGTACAGGGGGACAATCACTGCCCCAGTCCTGCTGGCCACACTTTCTGATACAGGCCAGGATGCTGTTGGCCTTCTTGGCCACCTGGGCACACTGCTGGCTCATATTCAGCCGACCAACACGCTGAGGTTCTTTTCCGCTGGGCAGCTTCAGGCACTCTTCTCCAGGCCTGTAGTGTTCATGGGATTGGTGTGACCCAAGTGCAGGACCCAGCACTTGGCCTTGTTGAACCTCATACCACTGGCCTCAGCCCATCAATCCAGCCTGTCCAGATCCTCCTGTAGAGCTTTCCTACCCTCAGGCAGATCAACACTCCCACCTAACTTGGTGCCGTCTGCAGGCTTACTGAGGGCAACTACTCTTTTTTTCCTCAGTTCCAGCTAAAGCTCTCTATTCAGCCAGGCCAGTCATCTTCCCCGCTGGCTTATCTTATGTCACATGGGGACGGCCAGGTCCTGCACTTCTAAGATTTCCTTCTTGAAGAACATCCAACCTTTCTGGACTCCTTTCCCCTTCAGGACTGCCTCCCAAAGGACTCTCTCAACCAGGCTCCTAAACAGTCCAAAGTATGCCCTCCAGAACTCCAAGGTAGCAATTCTCCTGATCCCCCCCTGCTCTGTACTTCTTCAAGAATCAAAAACTCTGTCACTTTGTGATAACTATGCCCAAGACGGTCTCCAGCCATCACATCCCCCACAAGTCCTTCTCTGGTCATAAACTGCAGGCTCAGCAGGGCACTGTCCCTAGTTGGCTCCCTCACCAGCTGTGTCAGGAAATTTTTCTCAACACACACTCCAGGAACTTCTTAGACTGTTTCCTCTCTGCTGTACTGTATTTCCAGCAGATGCCTGGTAAGTTGAAGTCCCCCACAAGAACAAGGGCTAGCGATTGTGAGACTTCTGTGTTTTCATCCTGGTTGGGTGAAGAGACAGATTCGCAACATGGTATCCACCTTGCTGGCTTTCCCCCCTGATTTCACCCATAAACACCCATTCTCCTCCCCACACATACCTATTCTCCCCATCCTTCAGCTCTAACCAAAACACTCCCTAACATACAGGGCCATCCCACCACCTCTCCTTCCTGGCCTATCCCTTCTGAAGAGTTTACAGCCATCCTTTGCAGCACTCCAGTTGTGTGTGTCATCCCACCGTGTTTCCATGATTGTCAGTAGCAACCTTCTGCAATCCCACCTCATATAAGTTTTATATTTTCTATGACAACAGAGAGCTTAGAGTAGAACCTTAATGAAAGGCAAGCACGTCAGTAGTACATGACTTAAACCTCGTTGAACAACTCGAGCACATGTGAAAAGCACATAGCAAAAAAAGGATTTTGTCTACATCTCTGTCTACACCTGTATGTGTTCCGGTTATACCTTGCAATTATGGGTAAAAATTGCTCTGTGATTCTTTCCCAGCAGTCAGTCAATGCACTGAGCTCAACCATCTCCTGAGGAAGTGAATTTAGTAGGGCACTGAACAACTGTCACTGCTCAAGAAGATAAACTTGCAACCTGCGATAATGCAGGCACAGCTTGTGACATAAAGCTCGACCAACAATATAAGCTAGTAATTTTTATAGTACCAGCACAGTATTTTATATCACTTACCTGTGACCACAGCCCATTTTCCATAGCGCTTGACAAGATCAATCTCGCCACCCAGCTTTGGAATTAAATGCAACCTCAACATGCTGTAAGTGTCAAACGCAAGAGACACACACTTTCTGACTGTGTACCATGCTCCAACTATAGCCAGGGCCTCTATGTAAAAACTGCAGGAACGGCTGATCTCTCTGTACAGAAGGTAGAAACGATCCACTGCAGCCATGGTGATCAAAAGCCTGGAAAAAAATAAGAGAGACACAGGCAATGACAATCGCCTCTTGGGCCACATAAACTCTTCAGACTGAACGGATAAGTTCTGAGAGTCAGCACATGCAGCCTGAGCACCACTTTGATGCAGAAAAAGCCACAAAAATGTGGGTATTGCCTACCATCATCCTCACTGTTTTAGCTACTGTTCAAGCCTTAGTTCAAGCTACTGTTCAAGGGCTTAGCTGTTAATCAGTTATACTGCAATAACACAAATCAATGATGCTGTAAATGAAGCAATTTGAGTCCAAGCAGATAAGGGAAGCTCAACTGAAAAATTAGGTTTTGGAAGATTAAGATTCACCCGTAGAAGAGGCAAGGACAACAAGCTGAGCACGCAAGAAATAACACTCTCCCAAGCACAGATGGCTACAGGAGAGACACAGCAAGCTGAGACAGACACGTAACTTTATAAAGTCCCCGGTGCTATCCCGAAGCACTGCCTATTTCCCAGCACACACACCGCACCTGCCGTGTCCTTATGTCTTGGAAACCCTTGAGCCACGGGACGGTGCCCCGCATTAATGTCACCAGCTTTCACTAGAAAGCTTGCTGTGCCTCCTCACAAGGTTTTTACGAGTGAGCAATTTTTTAAAAACAAGCACAAAACCCAACGGCCTACTCCTCGGCAGCACCTCGCCTACCGCCGGAGCGGGCTCCTCACCGCCGCTGCCTTTAGGGCCGCCCACACCCTGCCCGCTCGCCCAGCCCCGCTGCGTGCCACAGGCCTCACCCTGCGGGGACGGACAGCGCCGCTCGGGACCGGCCCGCCGCCTCACCCCCGCCTCTAAAGGAAAACACCCCCCCAATCACCCCGTTACCCGCTCGCCGCTCCTCACTGCCGGCCGCGGGACAGGGCTCTCCAGCAGCTCGGCTCGGCGCTACCCCGGCCCGCCGCCGCCTGTGCCCTGCGCGGGGCCGCCGGGAGCGGCCGCGGGGCCTTGTGGGGCTGCGCGCGGCGTCGCCATAGTGACGGCGGCTGTTGGGGAGCGCGGCCGGCGGCCTCGGGAGCGGGCTCGGGCTCGGGCTCGGGGTCCCTCCGCTCCGCTGCCTCCCGTCCTCCGCGGTTTGCGTCTCCTGGTGACCGGGGCGTACCGCGGCGAGGCCAGGAGCGGCCGTCCACCCCGTGCACCGGAGCCTGGGTCCGGAACACCTGGTCCAGCCCCGGTCTTGGGTCAGGTAAAGGGAGCTGGAGGTTTAACGGGAGGTATCATAGAGTGGTTGGAATCGGAAGGAACTTCAAAGATCATCGAGTTCCGACCCCCCGCCCTGGGCAGAGACACCTCCCGCTAGAGCAGGTTCTTATGTCTTGGAAACCCTTGAGCCACGGGACGGTGCCCCGCATTAATGTCACCAGCTTTCACTAGAAAGCTTGCTGTGCCTCCTCACAAGGTTTTTACGAGTGAGCAATTTTTTAAAAACAAGCACAAAACCCAACGGCCTACTCCTCGGCAGCACCTCGCCTACCGCCGGAGCGGGCTCCTCACCGCCGCTGCCTTTAGGGCCGCCCACACCCTGCCCGCTCGCCCAGCCCCGCTGCGTGCCACAGGCCTCACCCTGCGGGGACGGACAGCGCCGCTCGGGACCGGCCCGCCGCCTCCCCCCCGCCTCTAAAGGAAAACCCCCCCCCAATCACCCCGTTACCCGCTCGCCGCTCCTCACTGCCGGCCGCGGGACAGGGCTCTCCAGCAGCTCGGCTCGGCGCTCCCCCGGCCCGCCGCCGCCTGTGCCCTGCGCGGGGCCGCCGGGAGCGGCCGCGGGGCCTTGTGGGGCTGCGCGCGGCGTCGCCATAGTGACGGCGGCTGTTGGGGAGCGCGGCCGGCGGCCTCGGGAGCGGGCTCGGGCTCGGGCTCGGGGTCCCTCCGCTCCGCTGCCTCCCGTCCTCCGCGGTTTGCGTCTCCTGGTGACCGGGGCGTACCGCGGCGAGGCCAGGAGCGGCCGTCCACCCCGTGCACCGGAGCCTGGGTCCGGAACACCTGGTCCAGCCCCGGTCTTGGGTCAGGTAAAGGGAGCTGGAGGTTTAACGGGAGGTATCATAGAGTGGTTGGAATCGGAAGGAACTTCAAAGATCATCGAGTTCCGACCCCCCGCCCTGGGCAGAGACACCTCCCGCTAGAGCAGGTTGCTCACAGCCCCCCTGCAGGGGGCTGTCTGGGCTGCCGGCGCACATTGACGGGCGCGTGGAGCTTCTCACCCACCAACACCCCCAAGCCCTTCTCCTCGGGGTTGCTCTCAGGCCATTTTCTGCCCAGCCTGTATTTGTGTGTTTGGGTTACAACGGTGTGCTGTAGGACATGAGTCTTGTCTAGAGAGCTCCCAGGCGACAGCCGCGAAAAGTGCAGGGCCGAAACTGCACTTTCCTCAATCCTCATGGGGAGACTGCAGCTCCCCTTGGAGCCTGCCCAGCTTCCAGTGGGGCAGGAGGCAGGCTGTGCTTCAGCACCACCAATGCATCCTCAGTGCACCAGCTTCAAAAGGAAAAAAAGTCACTTGCTTTCGTTCTGGGAGGGTTCTCAGCCATGGGCCTCTCTGTTCTGAGTGAGATCCACAGTGGGCACAATTTAAGATAAACTCTCCCTGCCTTTCAGTGGCATGAATAGCCCCAGATTGCTGGCTCCAGTCATTTACTCATGTGGTCTTTTTATCTGTAACAGGTTCTCCTGCTAAGGCCTTTACACATTTTGTCTGGAAGTTGGATTGTAAGTCAAATACCAACTTGGCTGATGTTTGTCTAAATCACATATCTTAAAATGCAGTCACAAAATGGAGACTTTGACAAAGACCTTGGAGAGGAGGTTACTGCACAGGAGGTGCCAGAAGTTTCTGTGAGTGACACCGGTAACAAAGCTACCCAAACAGAAAATGAAGGTAATTCTATCAACAAAGGTGAGCCCTTCCAGCTGGCTCACTAGGGTGAATTTGGGGCAATTTAGTGAACATAAAGCCTAGAAATCAAGTCTGCCATTACTCTTCTGGACACAATATGAGTTTACTCTTTCTCCCACTGAAGTCACGGAAAATCTTGCCATAATTGAGGCTTCCACGATTGCTATCTTCTTGTGCTTTTTTTATTTGTTTCATTTTCTTCTTGCTGGAGAGAAACCTTTCCCTGTGTTTCAATCATACAGCTAGCCTGACCTTTAAATGCTTTTATTACAATCATATTTAAATAAGCCGGCACAATCAGCTTGCTTGCACTGTATCTTTTTTAAGTGTACAGACTGGAAGCGCAACTAGAAGGTGCAGAGCAAGAATCTGAAGAGAAGGCTATTGAAAATGCAATTAATCAAAGGCAGTCTAAAGACAGCTTGAAGGAGTATAGCACCAGAGACACCTTCCAACAAGTGCAAAAGGGTAAACTTGTAGGGGAGCTAGACTGACAAACAGTGTTTTAGATGTCTCAGATACACCATTACTGTAGTCACTTTACATGCAAATTAGCAGTCTTTTAAAATTCAAATTATTGTTAATTAAATGTAATATATAGTAGCTGTCTAAGACCGTAAAAACATTGGTGCCAGTACTTTATTGTCACTCTACGTTATAATGATCTTAAGACTGATGGGTACTACCTTACTTCTAGATCTAAAAAAAAATAATATGCAAATTTCAACAATTTATTTATTCTGCTACTAATTTTACTACTTTGCCTTCTAAAAAAGTTGTTTCCTTTCCTTAAAAATGTCAGCAACACTTATTTCTTAAAATTAATATTCAAAAGCTCTTTAATATTTCTTTTAAATAATTGCCAACATGATACTTTTTCCCCACCCATGCTGTTGAATTACAACTTGTTTTCTTACTTACAAAGATGTTAAAACTCAAGAAAAAACCATCAACTGTATGTCCAGAGCAGATCAACAGAATGGACAAAGATCAGATCGTGATCACAAATCGGTAACAAGCTCATTCAGTCAAAGGACAGAAGAGAAGAGTGGTCGTGTAAGGTAACACATGATTTGTGGATGATTTTTGTTTAAACCATTGCATCACTGAAGTCAATGGGAGTTTCACTATTCGACATGTTAGTTCAGGAGAATAATTTTGAAGGTGAACTTGAGAATAATCAATAAATCAGGAATTGGTGATATTTCCAGCATCTGTACAGCTTTTTTTTTTATGTTAAAGTAGAAGACTACATTCTAATTACATGATGGATCTGGAGAAAATTGTGCAAACTCTCGTGGGAGTCTTGTCAGCAGATTTGACCATTTCTCAGCATCGGTTCAGACAATACATTGTATTAATTCATCACAATGTAAATATTACAGTTGTCAAGATAGTTTTTAGCAGAGGAAATACAGAGGTACTTCAGATGGTTAGCAACAAGACACATCTCCTTTCTATGACCTGGCTCTGATTTTGGTCCAGCCTAAACCAGCATGTGCTGCAATGGCTGTTAATTAATAGTTCTGAAATTGGATTATTCTCATGTTATCTGTGATTAAGCACATTGCAAGCAAATAATAAAATTAAACCCTTATTTGGTACTATTTAATAACATGGTTGAAAGTCTGGTCACGTGGGATAGCACAATAGAAAACAATGGGATATACTGCAAATAGCTAGCATACAATAATGTACCTGGGATGAGAGTACAAGAAAACAGTCTATATTTAAAGATTTTGCTCACAGTTTACAAATTTTTCATTCCTTCGGAGATTTACATCAGGCACATTGGGTTACAGGACAGTTACAGGCTGACAATCATATTTTATATTGCCTCAAGAAATCTGTTGACTAATTGACTACTACAGTTTTGTTCTTCAGCAATATTGAGATTTTTAGTCTAGTAAGTAAATAAATCTAAAGGCAAATTAATTATGAAAGGTTTAACCTCACTGCCGTTACTCAAGTTTTTTAGTTATTTTGAAAATATCTTAATGCCAAGAAAATCTTACTGTTACAGACCTTAGGCCTGCAAATACATATGACCACAAATGCGAAGTTCAATTTGTTAAGATGTAATTTAGAAGTAGAAAATAATTTTGGATTATTTAACATTGTACTTTTGCAGTATTTCTTTAAGTGAGGGATATCTATTAGAAGTTTTATTCTGGAATTCTGTTTTACAGAATCTGATCTTTCTAAGCAGGAAGATACAGATATTTTCTGCTTTGGAATGTTTTGATGCATGTTTTCCTGATGGGTTCCCAAGTTTCTTGTCTATAGTGTTACTAAATTTTATGTAGCCCTGAACACTTTGTCTCCAAAACCAGTGTCCTGTCATTCTTTGCAAAGTCACTACTCAGGGACTACCAAATTCATGAAACTGTTGACCCAGCGCTGTCTAGCACAGCATCCCAGATAAGGGTGTAACTCACCCCATCAGCTGCTCTTTGTTGCCATCCATTTCTGTTTGCAGAGTTTTCAGGCTCCCCCATGAACTTACTCACCACTTTGGGGGGTTGCTGCCCTTTCGACTGCAGCGTGCAGCTTTGGCCTCATTTGGCCACCGTTGGCCAAAGTGCTTTGCCCCTGCACTTCTGCTCTTCCACACTGTAGCTTTCTGCCCAATGCCTCTTGCCAAGTCCTCTGTCTCAGTGCTATTTCAGAGTTGGCATTTCATTAAAATGTTAGGCTGATAATTATTGATTTTTCTAGTCTGAGAAAAACGTTGTGCATTGGCTATGCCACCAAAGGTCCTGCACCAAAGCAGCAAGGATTGGGGCAAAGAACTAGAGAGGAAGGAACCAGAATTTAACACAGAATCATGCTGCTCTTTTCCAAGAGAACGGACTCCCTAATTCCCTACCCACTTTCCTATGTACTCTCTGTTTTTTAGCAGAAATGCCTGAGAACTCACTTGAAACAGATAGAAATGGAAAGCCACTCTAAAAAAAGTACTGCTTTTTTATTTGGAGTATAGTCTTGAAAGCTGTAGCTATTTCTCTTGCATAAAAGAACCATTAGTGGTGTTTAGAATGTGCACTGAAATACATTTTTTGTTTTCCTTCCGCTTCCCATTATTATTTCAGAATGACAAAAAAGATTCTGCGAGATATCTGTAAACAGCAAAAATTATACTTGACCCCATACTTAAATGATACGCTTTACTTGCATTATAAAGGTAAGATGTGGACATGACTGTTTAGGTTTATCATTCTAAGTTGTATTTTAGCAGAGTATTTTATGGCTCACTGAAGTAAGATACCAAATAATTCTTTTAAATTAGAAACATAATTTAATTGTATATATAATAGTGAAATTGTGGAACAAAATGAGTCAATATGAAAGGCAGAAAAGTGAACTGATTATAGACCTAATTCACTTTGTGGAGTCATTCAAAGAATCAATAGCAATCAAAGGGCGCTTTTTTTTTTTTTTTTTTTCCAAAATAGTAGCCTCTGAGAATGTCTTTCCCTCTGAGAAATGTATTTCTTCTTAAATGTGTTTGTATAAAGAAGCTGCTTTCCAGCTTTGGGGACTTTTTTACTGCCAAATAAAAATGTTCAGGAAGGAAATGAACAGTGAAGACTAGCTGCATGTTATCAAATACTACTAAAAGTAAAAGAAGTTGCTAGAATGAACATGGATCATCCTGTGCTGATCTTTCAGTAGGTTTTTGCATGATACAGTTAGCTGCTTCAGATTAGCATAAGAATTGTGTTAAATAATTAGAATGTGCTAAATCTACCTTCTACCTTTGGCCTTGGTTTTGCTATTTTCTTAATATGTATTATTTGAGCATCTAAAGGCCTGCACCAGATATAGAACAGCACAGGTTCCTTTATGGTTTGGCCTGTTATGGGCCAGGTACTGTACCAGTAATTCAGTGAAAATATTGACAGCAACTTGACTACAAGTGTTCTCACAGGCTATTTCAGCAGCGCTGGTTTAAAGGCATTTACTCTTCCAAAGACTTGTTTTCAACTGATTCAATTTCATTTTAAAACATCTTTTTCTGCAGGATTTGACCGCCTGGAAAACCTGGAAGAGTATACTGGATTGAAGTGTTTATGGCTGGAATGCAACGGCTTAACAAAAATTGAGAATTTGGAGGCTCTGACGGAGTTGCGTTGCCTCTACTTGCAACTCAATTTAATTAGCAAAATTGAAAACCTTGAACCTTTACAAAAGCTGTATTCCCTCAATATCAGTAACAACTACATTAAGACCATTGAGAATCTCTGTAAGAACTGCTGGTGCAACATGTTTTAACCTATAACGAGCCCATATTCCTAAGCTTTGCCTAAGTTAAGTTATTATTAGAGGCACTAGTTTCAATGTTTTTTTTCATTCATGTTAAAATTTTGCACAATATCCCATACAAGGCTTCTACCGAAGAGTCAAAACTATGTATTTTGCTATTTAAATAGATGAGAAAACAGGAAATACACAGTAATTACTTTCACATAGATACCTAGGAAAATTAAGTCATTTTTTTCTCACTTCTTAATAGTATCTCAGTACTTACCTGTGTTGCAGACAGGCTGACAATCCAGTTTTCACCATTCACTTTACAGTTAAGGTGTGCTTTGGCAGTTGCAGACATAATTACCAAATCTTTTATGTCTGTTGAAGGATTTATTCCATCTTCAGCAGAAAATAAAAAAAAATTCCTCTACATTATCATTTGTGAACATTGGGAGCAATTTGAAACACAAGCTCTTGCTTTTGTGACTAGTTTGAAACATGAATTAAAAATATCCACCATCCTAAAGCCAAACAACTATTTTTCCAGGGGTGAAGAAGGCAGCTTTGGAGGCCTGGTCAAAACCCGCATATATTAGAATAACGAAAAAAGCTCCCAATTCAATATCAACAATTATTTTGACAATGCAGTTTTCTACTTGCTCCAGAAAATCCTCTGTGAAGCACTGACTCTTGCCTTTCATTGTCTGACAGCTTGTCTGAAAGCCCTGCAGACTCTGCAGATCGCTCACAATAAGTTACAAACAGTGGAAGATATACAGCACTTGCAAGAATGCCCAAGTATTTCTGTCCTCGATCTTTCCCACAACAGCATAAGTGATCCAAACATTATAACTGTTCTGGAGACCATGCCTAATTTGGTAAGTGGGATATAGATGAGGGTTTGTATCATGTATATGGGGGAATCCCATTAAATGGTTTTCTCAGTAGTACAGTGCATAATAGGTATCAGTCTAAAAGACATGTTATTAAACGTTATTTGGGGTTTTTGTAGATTACCTGCAACACGCAGGATGTTTTATTCACTTCTTATTTTTGAAATGATAGGGAAAGTGCATATCCAGATTGGGGGTTCTTTTGCTGCTCAACTTTAAAAATTGTTTCCCTTTTTTCTCTAGCATGTGCTGAATTTGATGGGAAACCAAGTGATAAAGAAAATTGCTAATTATAGAAAGACACTTATTGTTCGGTTAAAACAACTAACATACCTGGATGACAGACCAGTTTTCCCAAAAGATAGGTAAGAAACAGAGCCATCTTTACGCAGCACTAAAACTCAAATGCTAATGAGCATAATCCATGTTTTGTCAATTTTGTTGTGGGTGGAAGACCAGTATAATTTATTGAAGGTGGGTGACTTGTAATACAAGATTATTATACTACAGGGTTCTACTTCTAACACACCTAGAAAAAAAACCCAACATGTATTTTCACAAGAGGATTAATTCTTGAACAGAATTGTTTTATGCAGTCTGTAGACTAGAGGCAAACAGCCACTGAGCAAGTGCCTGGAAAAGAGCCAAGTTGAGCGCTCATTTAGATCTCTGCTGGTGTCATCACCAGCATTTGGATATCTTTGTTTCTTTTGTTACAGTTTCACAAAAAAGATACGATACATATGCATCTCTGTTGTGTAAAGGATTGCCATTGCTGTATGCTTTCTTTTTTCTTTCCTGTTGCAGCTATTTTATACTGTTGCAAACTATTTTAAGTTTTTCTTTCATTATAAAGGTGGAGTTTTTTAGCTATATTACAGCAAACTTTTGTGTTTTTATTAGAGCCTGTGCAGAAGCCTGGGCTGTTGGAGGGCTTGAAGCTGAGAAAGCAGAAAGGGAAAAGTGGGAAACCAGGGAGAGAAAAAAAATTGAAGATAGCATCAATGCTTTAGCAACAATCAGACAAAAAGCAGAGGAAAAGAAAAGTCAAAAGTATATGGAAGAAAGAGATAGAAGTGTAAAATGTGGAAATGGAGGTGCAACAGACATCTTAGAAGGTTTGTTGTTGCTATTTTGAAAGATCCCTGTGTCTGCTTCGATTTGAATGTTTAAAATAAATGAATAGTTCCCAAATGTTGAGAAGCAGGCTGATGCGATTTTTGGAATATGTTCATAAATCTTCTTTTCCCATACAAAATACTTTATTGATCTTGGTGCTTCTTAGATTAACCACAATGATTTTAAGCAATCTTCACCTTTCTCACTACTGATGAAATAGAAAAACAACAAACGACTTTCTGTCCCAGCATTTCAAGCTCTTGTACCCTTCACCAGAACAACCAGGCGCTGGTCAGGGTTCCAGCAGGCGTTCATGGGTGGAGGCAGGCACCCATCTGTAGATACCAGATAATTATTTACTCTTGAGTTTTCTCTAGGTGAATTTTTTGCTCAGGAAGTGTATTTGCTGGGGAGTTGAGATAGGAAAACCCACAACATTGCTGCAATCTTCGGAGGACTGCTGATCTACAAATAGCTGCTGAAACACAGTGGGAGCTTTTGATGCATATTTTAGGCCAAACTATTAAGAACCATGTAGTAGAGTTTGGATATTTAGAATGAGTAGTGCTAGATTAACTCAACTCTTCTGTATTAGCACCTGCAAATACAGATGACAGTGATGGAAATTCTAATGCACCAGAGACCTCAAAAGAGGAAGAAACTCAAGAGAAGAATGAGAAACTTAGAAATGAAAATTTTGATGCCCATGATGAAGTGACAACAGTTCTACCAAATAAGGGAGATAAGACAGATTTCCCATCTGGAAATACTCATGCTAGGATTCAAGAGGATGCACAAGAATCAGATTCTTACAGAGACTCAAACTTCAACAAGACGACAGACGGTAATGTACACAGTGAAGAGTCAAACCAAACTGGGGAAGCAGAGACAATGAGCCAAACTCTGTTTTAGTGTAGCACCACCTCTGCTATGATTCAAACCAATTCATAGATAAGAACATCCCATTAGATTTCCACAGGGACTACTTGAAAATCAAGTAATACTGGATAAAATATCCTTAAACTAAAAAAATTGATGGCTCAACCTGCAGCTTCTGCTACATAAAGGTGGAATTCCATGTCTCATTCATGCCAGGTTTAGCGACAGGGCAGGAGAGCTCTAGAGGTGGTTTTGTGCCTTCACACATGGAAGAATGCTTTTGTAGATTTGTGGAATACATTACTGCAAAATGCAAATATTAATTTATGCAATATAAGGGAGACCAAGAATCTGATGGAAAGACAAAGAGCTGGATTCAGCTGTGAGTTCTGCAGTGCTAGTCAGGTCCCCAGTCATTTGGTTTTGCAGTGCTTGCTGTTGCCGTGTAGAAAGTATTTTATTCAGTTAGTTCTCTGCATCTCACTATTATTTATTCTGTAGATCTACCAAGAGAGAAGGAAGCTACTGAAAAGGCCACGCTTGCTGAACTGGATGAATATGCTGAAATTGAAGAGATCAAACTGGAGACACCAGAGAAACTTTATCTTGATGTATGTATTGGATTCCAATTTTGGGAAGTTCAGATTTGAGTATTGTCTGCTCCCAAATTAATTCATGTAACATCCTGGCTAATAAAACTACATGGCCATGTTTCTAAGAATGGTCTACCATTAGTAAAATTAAAAGGAAAGAACAAAAAAAGAACCAAAGTGAAGTTGTAGGGTGTCTTCATTCTCTCTAGTGTAGTGTGTGTAGAGAGTTTACTGCCGCTTCCAAGGTTTAGTTTGTCCTTTGGCCATAGATCACCTGAAGTTGGCCTTGTACCTCAGTGATTTCTCTGGAGAAGTTAATGAAGGCTCTCATTTAAAAAACAGAAATCACAATAAAAGGAATGTAAGGGATACATACATACTCTTAGGCAAAACTCAAATGAAATACGTAGTTGAAAACATGAACTATTGCAGAAAAAGCATAAGGAAGAAATAGCCACCCACTCATTGTAAATGTTAGCTAGCAGTATTAGATATTATAAATTAATTCTCAAAATACAACTTTTAGGTATATTTCCAAGAAAAGCAGAATGGACATTATTCGAGTATATAACATTTGTAATATCCGTTATCTAAGATTTCTGTCTGATGATGCAAACATTTGAACATGTTTAATCACATTTAACCATGAGGAGGACATGGATGATACCACTGACAAACACAGTCTTACTTCAAAGGAGAACTATTCAGTATGTCCTAGTTATAACACTGCTGCTAAACTGACAGTGTCAGATCATGACATAAGTAACAATAACAAACTTCTGAGCATATGCTTTCCCAGAGCACTTAATATACTCTTTGATCCCTTATACTGCCATTGTTAACTAAATTTTTACTAGAATGTTTTAGAAAAGTGTCTCAGATCTTTTCTGCGCTCTTTAATTTCCCAGGTCAAAATTCCATGCTGTTATCGAAGGGCTCACCTCACTGCTTGAGTAGAGGGTTTATTGCTTCATCCTCCTGTGTGGCTGGTTTTAATTACAGGTTTAACAAGGGTAGTAGAGAGGACTGGCAGCAATTCCAAGTATATACAATACTATTTTTATAAGCAGGGTCTGAACTAAAAGCATTAAATGAATAGTGATAGTGTAGGTACCCCCCAGGTGAAGATCTCATAGATTCAGTGTCTTTCCCTTGGTGCTATATGGCACCATAGCACACTCCCTTGATCAAACTTTAACACAGTGGAAAAGGAAGTCTTCAACATACATGCATGGGGTTTCTCTTGACACATAAAAAGTGTGACTATTCTAATTCTACAGAAGAAAAAAAGAAACCCAGATCTCACACTAATACACATTTCAGTGTTCTGTGCTACTTCATTATCCAGTAGACATTTATTAATGGAAAGAGCTTCTCCCAGTGCCCTCCAATACTTACGCTATTGCAGATTTTCCGAAGAGGCTTAGTGCTGCCATAGCAGGGAATGGCTGTGACAGTGCCAATGGTGAGAAGCTCTGGAGCAGCACCGTCGTCTTTATTCATATCCCAGAGTCAGCAGATGGTCTCAGTAGTAATATAAGGGAGAAAAGTGGAGGAGGATTTGTAACATGGTGGTTGTGACATCTCTCTGTCAAGCAGAAACAAGCCTGTGTTGCTGTACATGCCCTGGCAGTTGTTTGAACTACATTCTCTGTGCCTAAGCCAGGAGAATTTTAGTTAGTGATTTTGGTTTAAGCTGGAAATGCAGCCTACTAATTGGAACAAGACTAGCAGTTATTTCACTTTCCTATTGACATCAGATTCCACTCACTGGCATTAGTCTCAAATCTTCATTTGTACATTTTTAATGCAACTCTTATAAACCCATGGGACTTCAGAACATGCTTCACTAGCTACAACCACATCATGAAACAGAAAGTTCTTTGTTCATTTTAATTCTGTAATAATTTTCACCACACAAGACAGTACAGGTTAGATGTACCCGATGTTACCGCACCAACCAGTGTGCTACAAAATCATTAAGCTCTAAAACCAAAAGGAGATGCTTCTACCATTATTGGCCTACACTAAAAAAATGACAAAAAGGGTATTACTTTCTACCTGTGATTTTGTATTCCCACTCTCTAATTTTGCTTTTTGTCAGTGAGCGACAGTTGTCTTCGGTAATTTTTTCTAACAGAAAGCTGAAATGATTGGACCTTTCTGAGGAAAACCAGTTCTCAGCAAGTTTGCAGGTCTATATCCTTAATGATGAGGCATTCACAGTAAACCATTGTTTTATTAGATATATTTAGGCTAACAGAGTTTACTGACAGTTGGTTTCAGATCCTTACTTGTTTCTTACCCATAAAGATGGGTTGCAGTTGAGATTAAGTCTATTGAAGAGATAAGAAACAGCTTATAGACATAAACCACATGTACAGCTTCTCCTTTAACACCATGTTTGCTTTTAAAATCCTGTTAATGCCTTGCTGTTTATCCATTTATCTCCTTTTTTTTTTCTTCCCCATAGTCACACAGTATAGTAGAAAACTGCATTCAGTTTGACATTAAGGTTATTGCGTTCCTGTCTGCTATTTCTGGAGACAGATGAATTTTACTTTTCCCACATGTGCTTAACAGAGGTGACTGTCATCTCAGAGGGCGACAGTGCAGTGCTCCTGGCTGTGGCCTTTTAACCCAAAAAGCTTTGCTTTGAAGAAGATTCCCAGTGAGCTACAGATGTCATTTTTTGACAGCTTCTTCCACAGATTAATGATCTTGTTATTGTCTTCAGGAACTGCCTGATTTAGAAGATACAGATATAAGTGAATTTCCCCCAGAAGAGAAAATCTTTATTCAAAAGGTAAGATTCTTCTTAATTCTAGCGATGAAGCTTCCCTAAACACATTTACAAATGTTTTTCAAAAATACAATAATTTATGAAACACTGTTTTGGGAAATTGAATCAGTTTTGCATTTATGAACTAAAATAATGGATGTTTCAGCAGGTCTTCTCTATCCACTTGTAAATCTTTTTTTAAAAATTTGAATTTTTAAATTTTTGCATTGCAACAATAGAATTAAAACCTAAGATCAAGTAATGCAACAGTTAAATAAAATTAATTTCTTAGTAGCATGTAGTGTTTTAATGTAGATTACTCTTAAAATATACTTTACTGGTACTGATATGCTGCAAAGGACTGAACAGTTAATACAAATCACCTACTGCTGAATGAAATCAGACTTTTCAACTGAAAACACAGAGAGTGAAACTCTGCTCCACTTGGGGCTACTCAGATAGAAGCCCACGTGAGCTTTGTGCTGTGCTCAGACTGATCTGGGCAACAACCTATAAACAGAAACAGAAGAGGAAAAAAAAAACAGCAAGGATTAAAAGCCCAGCTCTGGTTATAGTGCTGCTGTTGACTCATACTTGCTTTGCTGGATAGAGAGGCTGATGCAGTACATGTTTTCGCAAGTCCCTTCAAGATAATGCAAACTTTCCTGACAGTCAGTGTAAGGCATGGCATTTATTTGCTTTTTTGGCCACGGACTCATAACAGTGTTGCAAAATGTCTTGGCCAACAAAGCCTCCGCTTAAGATAAGGGAAGGGAACAAAGAGTATTATTGAAGGAGTAAGAGTTGAGCAACTCTCACGTTCCAAAGGGTGTTCAGCTCTTAACTGAAGCCAGATGCAGATGTTATTTGGGTCCCTGGGTTTGGAGGTAAGTAATAGAACTGAGCCCACACATTGCTGAAATGGGTCTTCTTTTTAAGAACTGGTAATAGTTTATGGTCAGTTCGTTGCTAGCCTGAGAAATAATTAACCCAAGATTCACCCACAAAGCAGCAGAGCTGTGGGCATGAAGCACATGTCCCATACCTCTTGGGAGAAGAGCACAGCACAGCCGTTATGGGGATCCAAGAGGTATTTACCCACCTTTTAGCTTTTACATCTAGAGTAATGTATTTTTAACTACATTTTCTACCTTTACAGCAGGAATATCACCCAAAGATTGAAATAATTTCTGAAATGACAAATGACAACAATTCAGCATTAGAGGAAAACAATAAAAGCATGTTTGAGAATTCAGTAGGAGAAGAAGTTCCAACAGCAATTTTTTCAAATATGTGTAAGATACATAAAGAGCATGAAATGGAGCACTTAAGACCCCTTGTTGAAAGCTTCGTTACAGAGCCTGTTAATTTGGAAAGGTACCCAGAGATCAAAGATAAACAAGCAACTCCCTTGAAACCCTTGATACAAGAGGTTGTCACTGAACCCCAGAATAATTTGCTATTGTCACCAGTCTGCAATCAAGCAGATGACCCAAGCCCATGGGAAGGGGACAGCAAGATTACAGTTACTTGCTCTGGTAAGATGATGGTGACATAATTAAGTGACACAAAGGAAAAGGTGGGTGGCACATTTGCACTAAAAGTAAGGATTTGTTCAGCTCTTGTGGAAAAAGTTTTGTATCCACTGTTAGTTAACTTCTTCCTTTTATTTATGTGTGAATTCTAATAAGTTAGGAATTAAAATGCTATTTTCTCTTTTTCTACACAGAAGTTCTTGCTGAATTTTATTTAAATGGTTTTTAAAAATTGGGCTCTACAGCTCTTTTTCCAGTATTAAAGACCACCAGTAGGTTTCATTTGCCTTCTGCCCTCATGGTCTAACAGAGAACAGCAGCAATGGAGAAGTACTGTACCTGGCTGAGGGTAAAGGATGTCTTCACAAAGCACAAGGTGACAATGAGCCCTGAGAGCAAATTAGATTAATCCCTTTGAAAAAAATAACAGACCAAATGTGGAGCACAGTGCCTGTGGTTATTCTCAAAATGCAGAGTTCAGCACTGGAACTGTTAGTTAAAGCTGACCTAATGCTTATTTTGACATAGAACCCACCACTTTCAGCAGAAGGACTTGGTGTTTCCAGCGGTCTGAGGCTGCTGCGACCTCCTGCATTCCACCTTCAGGGCAGAACTTGTGGCTGTGTCAGCGTGAAAATTGCTCATAATCCTCTGTGACCCACAGGGAGCCAGTGTCTGTGTCCCCACTGCCAAACCTGCCGCGGTTCCGCAGCTCCAAGCCCTCCAGGGCAGCTGTCAGCGGTTGCTGCCTCTGAAAGTGAGGGCATTACTGTCTTAAGGTTAAATTCCACTCTCTTATGTAATTTTTACCCCCTGATTCCTTCTAAAAATTACTTAGTTAAATGTTTATATCTTAGGGTTTCATTACATATGTTGTTTTAATCCATAATGTAATGTTTCTGTCATATGAGTTAAATAAAGATTCTACCTGTAACCAAATATATTTTTCCTTGTTTTATCTCCTTACAACTATGTCATACCAGAAAGACTTGAGCAACAGATTTATTGCTTCTTAAGAGGGTACTTTATGGATCTAATATTCATAAACATTATGACTATTTATGGAAAACCAGATGCAGAAATAGTGTCTGTGCATGGAAAGTCTGTTTTTACCTTTTTAGGACAGTCTGTGATGGAACATACACTTAGCTCTCCCATTTTCATCCTTTTTCCTTGAGAGATGTGTCTCAGGATCTGGAATTCAAATATAACAGAAAAATAACCAGCCAGTCAGTAGTGGCAGCAAGATAGGTTTCGTGTAACAAGCCGACCAAAGGAATCCTTCCATTGCCTTCTCTGTTACATCACAGCGGTATCTCGTGCCAAAGTGAGATGGACGGTACCAGCAGTGATGCCTCAGCCCAGTTCTCTCTGCTTCCCTGCCCTCCCCATGCCGCATCTCCCCTTTTGGAGCTAGAGAGTAAAACTGGAAGAGATGGAGATGGCTGAAGAGCAGTGCTTCCTCTGCCCCACTGCAAAAAGGGTTGGGGGAACAGACAACTCTTGGCCAATTCTGCTGAGGCTTTAATGGCTCTCATTTGCCTGACACAGAAGCAACTGTGGCAGCCAGAGAAGTATTGTACACAGTTTAAATGCCACATAAAAGCATTGACCTCATCTTTGAGGGCTGATGTGGTTTTTATGGTGTAACCAACAATCGCAACACTGGGAGTAGAAGCTAGGCTTTAGGTGACATCACTAATCATACTCAAGTTTAGGTGGGTGTCTTTTTTCATACCTCTATAAATCTCTAATAAGTTGTAATAAATAAAATTGAACTGGTCTTGTAGGTGTGAAAATTTAAAGAAAAAAAATTTACCATGGACTTGTTGAAAAGCTCTATTTCCAATTAGCTGGGTTTAGGTGACCTCTGGTGGTAAGAGAACCTGTCCTAACCATAAGGCAACAGAACAGCCCTCAGGGAAGACAACACAATTGCTTTAAATTTTAGCGGTTTTCCACTTTGCATGGGTGAAAACACGCTGGTTAAACCACTGGCCTCCAGGGGAGGGCAGGAGCAAGAGCTGGCGGGGAACAGGCCTGTCTGAAAGCAGCCGCGCAGGAACCTTCTCCTGAGAAAGCTGCAAAAGCTGCCAACAACGTTTCTGAGCTTGGTCCTAAAAATATCTGCTTCCCTGTTCTGACAGAGCTGGGCACAGTCTGCTTTGAGGATTTGGCTTCTGCCTTCTCTGTGCTGGGTTTTGGGGCCTGTCCTAGTCCCTTATTGCACTAGGGACAAATAAGTAGGAAGGACCATATTATCACACTTAAAAAAAACCAACCCTTTTTCAAAAAAGTATTTCAAGAGTGAAGTTTGATCTCTATTATCACTGAAAGCAAGAAAAAAAAAAAAGGATTAAAAAAAAAGTGAGTCAAGAGCTATTGATTCTTTGTCTCTGACCCTGACGTTGCCTGATAACCCACATTGACCCGCGAGCCAGTTGGGAGAACTCGTCTGCTTTTGGAGCTGCGTTTATACCACATTTCACGTCAGATCTCTCCAGCCCGTGCTCAATGGAGCCAACCAAAGCCCATCATTATCTGGTTAGCAGCCAGTGGTGTCCCTCAGGGTTCGGTTCTGGGGCCGGTCTTGTTTAATGTTTTTATTGATGATCTAGATAAGGGGATTGAGTGCACCCTCAGTAAGTTTGCAGATGACACCAAACTAGGTGGGAGTGTTGGTCTGCTTGAGGGTCAGAAGGCTCTACAGAGGGACCTGGACAGGATGGCTCAATGGCCCAAGGCCAATGGGATGAGGTTCACCAGGGCAGTGCCGGGTCCTGCATTTCGGTCACAACAACCCCAGGCAGCACTGGGGTTGGAGTGTCTGGAGCTGCCCAGCAGAAAAGGACCTGGGGGTGTTGGTGGACAGCCAGCTGAACATGAGCCAGCAGTGTGCCCAGGTGGCCAAGAAGGCCAGCACCATCCTGGCCTGTGCCAGGACCAGCGTGGCCAGCAGGAGTAGGGCAGTGATGGTCCCTCTGTACTGGGCACTGGTGAGGCCTCACCTCGAGTGCTGTGTTCATTTCTGGGCCCATTGCTACAGGAAGGACATTGAGGTGCTGGAGCGTGTCCAGAGGAGAGCCACCAAGCTGGTGAGGGGTCTGGAGAACAAGTCCTACGAGGAGAGGCTGAGGGAACTGGGCATGTTGAGTTTGGAGAAGAGGAGGCTGAGGGGAGACCTCATTGCCCTCTACAGCTCCCTGAAAGGAGGGTGTAGAGAGGTGGGGGTTGGCCTCTTCACCCAAAGGAATAATGACAGGACCAGAGGAAATGGTCTGAAGTTGGAGCAGGGGAGGTTTAGATTAGATATTAGGAAGAATGACTTTACTGAGAGAGTGGTCAGGCACTGGAACGGCCTGGCCAGGGAGGTGGTGGAGTCACTGACTGTGCAGGTATCTAAGAAACGTGTAGACGTGGCACTTCAGGGCATGCTCTAGTACCCGAGGTTGTTGGTTTTTGTCTGTGGGTGAGTGTGGTGTGTGTGTGTTGGTTTGTGGTTGTGTTTTGGGTTTGGTGGTTTTTTTTTTTTTTTTTTTTTTTTTTATTTTTTTTTGTGGATGGACTCGATGATCTCAAAGGTCCCTTCCAACCATGAATATTCTGTTATCTCACTGGGGAGCCTTCCTGCAAGCTCTTTTCACTTGAGGAGGGCCCGGGAAGGAGGAAAGGAGTAAGGGGTAGGTGAAAGTAGTGAGAGAAATGTCAGAGCAGGACTAGATGAGAAAAAGGAAACATATTTAATTAGTGTTTTCTGTAAAACTTTACAAATGTACAGCATAGTGCAAAAACAGTCTCAGCACATCACCTTCAAATAAAATTAACGAGGTTAAAAGCCAAGGAACACAAGCTTGTTTCTTCACAGGAGTGGCTCTCCAATACTGTTCCTGCAGGTTCCTCTCTCACCCTCAAGCTCCAGTCTCATGTTTACAGCAGAGCAAAAAACCTAAAGAAAAACCCAAGAACCACCCCCAGAAGCTGTGAGCAGCAACCGCAGTCTCACGCTCGGCACAAGAAAACCTGCCACAGCCCAAGAAGGTGCCGGGCATCATCGTTGGTTGAGCTGCACCTTTGTCTGCTTGTATGCAGCTTTCCTGAGATGGCTCATTTTCAACCCCAACTAGACAATCCAGGAGGACATGGAAGTGTATGTCACATCATCTAAATACCAGGCCAATGGGGGCTGCCAGAATTTTCCCTCGGTGCTGAACACGAAACCAGTGGCTGGCACTAATTCTGAAACTTCTGCAAAGACTGCACCACCAAGGCAGTGACAGAGCTCCCAGCACATGGTGGTTAACTGGTGAAAAAGGTGCTCAAAAGTGAATGTTTCTGAACTAAAATGTCTGTTCACATGCTGAGATGGAGGAAAGGACAGTGACAGGAAAGTCCATTTGAAACTTGGTCATCTTACTAAGGAGAATTTGAGCCTGCATTCCTCTGCTTTTGGAGTGGGTGCTGCTTGACCATTCAAGATGCTCAGAAATATAGTTTAGAGCCAAGAATTGTCATGGTAATAAAAGTGAGCAGAGCATTTCTTCAAATTATACCCACAAAGTCCTCGGGAGGCCTGAGTTGAACTTCCTGGGTCTGCCTTACTGCATTTGGGTAGCTTTCCTAAGGAAGAGGAACTCAATTAGAGAATACTGAGATAAATAATACATTCTCATTAGAACTACAGCATAAAAAACCAAAGCTCTGCTTTGTTGAGAAACTCAGTTGTCAGAAACCACATGGAAGAGGAAGATTCAACCTTTGGAGGCAGTTCTCAGATGCACAAAGGACAGAAGAAAAATTGGTGGGACTTCTGCCTCTCTCCTCACTGAGCAGCTGAGAGTCCTTCTGAAAAAGGGGATCCAATCAATTAAACTGGTTCATCAGATTTCATACATCAATAAACCAACATCTTGCATTTAAAATCTTCAGGGGAGATAGGAAGGCCAAGGAAAAAAATCATAGGACTGGACACAGAATACTTTACCAGCACCAAAACCCAGAGGGTACTCTCTCTGTCCTCTCTGCAAATGGAAAATTATGTGTGCTGAAGAGTCAATCTCTTTTTCTTTTTCCTTTTTTTTAAAGTATGGGTGCTCTGCCTTTATGTTAGAGAAAATAAATTGGGGAAAAAAAACAATCAACCAAACAACAAACCCTCTCAGCAGGAGATGTTTTGGGGTATGTGATGGTCTGTAGCTCCTCTGGGAGCCAGAGACACATTCTTAGGAGTGGCACTCAGGAAACGATCTTCTGCACACATCCCAACAAAACTAGAAGGTGGGTAATAGAATATTTTTAGAGATTGTACTGGCATATTCAACTATTTTCCTATTTAACAAACAGCATCCAGAAGGATCATGCATCTTAGCTAATCTGTGCTGCCCCAATAAAAATCTGACAGTTTGACATTGCAGACACTAGTCAGGACCACTTTATTTTATGAAGTCCCTGATGTACTTTCTTTATTTTATGAAGTCCCTGATGTACTTTCAAGCTACTCTCCACTTACATTTTATTAGAAGATTTGAAATTTCTAAAAACATTTTCAAGAAAAAAAACCAAAACAAACACAAAATCCTGCCAAGTTCTCACTCCCCATAGGAGCAAGTGCCAGAAGCAGCATGTTCTTTTAAAGCTATTTTCCTGGACAAACACTGAAATCCAGGTGCTGGGAGAAACAGTTACTGACCATTTCCGACTTCTCAAAAAAGAAAGGACACAAAAAGAAACTCTCCTGTGGATTTCTGAGTCACGTTTGTTTCTTTACATTCCGACCTGTGGATGCTTGGATGGGAGGGAGAGAGATGTTGTTTCTTGGAAGGTAAATCACTGCTTGGTGTCAGGTGAAGAGCTCAGGTTTAGTGGGATGTCCCCTTGGACACCCACAGAGGACAGGTAGGAAGTAATATTTTCAGATGGAACACAAAGCGATGAACTTTCAGGCAAGCTGATGAGGTCGTTTCCAAAGATTGACTGACAATCAATGACGAACTGCTGGGCACTTTCCAGAATGACATCTTTCTCTAGGAATGCAAATGGACAACATAAAACTCAGTTTCTGGAAGGCAAGTTACCAGACTTCACATATGTAGAAGTGAAAAGTGGCAAATTCCCACTACAACAGGAGAAGAGGGGCTTCACTCCAGGCAAAAAATGCTTGGAAACTCTTGAGTCAAAGTTGGACTCACTCAGAAGCCCATTACAATCAATGGGAATCTCTGCAGGCTGCCAAGATGGGTCCTGCCTGAGTGCTGAGATGCTTCACAGGAATGAAAGAAGGATGACCAAATAGTTGGAGACTCTGAGAAGCGAGTAAGAGCAGCTTCTCCTTCACTCAAGAACAGTTTGGTTTTTCTCATCTTTGCAGAAGGAGACATCTGCCAACTGTCCCATTTTTCCAGCATCATGCATGGACCATAAAGGCTTTGCAAACAGGAGAGGCTTCTCTTGCGCAGTTCAGCCCCAGCATGCAGTAGAATTCTCTCCAGTGCGGCTGGGCTTTTAAAACCTTCGATGTTCATGCAAGATGCTGAGCTTAAGGTTGAATTACACACAATACATCAAAACTCTGAGGTGGGATGAGATGTCTACAGCACCAAACTAAGGCTCACAAAAGCTTCTCTTTCAGGTCTCGCCCAGTTGAATACACATGAAAATAATAATAATATATCACTATTCCAAGACCAGGAAAACACTTCTAGATTCATATCTATGGCCAATGACACACTTTATCAGAGTCAGTGAGGGGGAAAATATCAACTGGACAGTTCCCTTGAGGTCTGGTAAAAGGTCAGGAGAAACCATAACACACCTTTTGCCTCTGGCTAGTAGCGGCTACTGGGTCACCTCCACTGCAGCAGGAGACAGAGGAAACACAGAACCCATACAGCTCTTGCCACCCCTACTTCACTTAGATCACCACATTGTTCTTAGGTGGTGATGAAAAGGCAGAGAAACAGTGGAGACACTGATAGACACGGTGTGGACCCAAACGGGAGCAGAAGCAGCTCAGTTACATTTAAACCTCAGTTTATGCCCCATGCGTTTCCTGCTGCTGGTTAGCTTAGCAGTTGTTGTGGAAGCATGACTGACTGGCACTCATGAAAGTGAAATAATAAATGTGTTTTGCTCCCTCAAAGTGGCAAATGGTCGGTGCCAGACGTTGCATCTACCTGCTGACATGTTTAACATCTTAATTACATCCCCATTTCCCAGTCCGCAAGAGCTGCTGGTGCTCCTACCTGGGCAGGCATTGTTAAACGGTGGGTTGAACACTTTTGAGGACAGCTCAGTTGCATTCTTCTCCAGGTCCACTGTGAATCGCTGCATCTTGATGCAAAAATATAAACTACAATGTGCAATTATACAAAGACAGGGGAGCTCGTTAGAACTAGGCCATTTCTAGAAATCAGTGCCTCATCAACGCTGCCCAACATCCACCAGTAACGCAAGCTGTCCTGTCCCTGACTCTCCTCCCTGTTGCACCTGCATTTGGTTAAAATACTCAAAAGCATGTGCTCAAGGGCAGATATGCCTGAAGGAGAGGTCTAAGGGAGATGTAATGCTCTACTGGCACTGGCTAATGAAGATCCTGTCACATGAGGAGGCCAGGCTAGTGTCACTATGGCTGTCCCTGCTTGGCTGCCATCAAAGTAAACCCACAGCCCTCTGCAGCCGGCAACAAATGAGAAAGGAATTTTCTTTCCGTTTCCCTATGACTTCCTTTAAAGTAAAACTTGCTTTTGCTTGCATGGAGTTGCTGCTAGGTGTGGAATTGCTGCTTCCAAGCTTCTCTATGCTCATGGCTTTCTGGAGGATGAGCAAGCCTAAGGGTGGGTTGTACCAGTTGCTGGGAAATTCAGAGGACTCCAGGACTGAGCTATTGAACATTGCAGCTCCCTCTTGGCTTTTTGTCTCATGCAATCCTTCTTAAAAGAGACCATCCCTTGCTTCCAAGACTTGCTAATACTATGTCTCTTCAGAGACTCTCCTTCCTGATGCTCAGGAGGTGAAGTTACCCAGTAAATTCAAAATTATTAAATCAAAGCCTAAAGAGGATAGTGATATCATGAAGAAGATTTAGAGACCTTTTGCACTTCATTAGAATAGATTATACTTTGCTGGCACATTAGTGGAGATGTCAGAACTATTTGAGTCTTTTTTCAATCTGGCTGGCAGTGTCGGGTCTGAAAGTTCACCCTCTATCAGGAAGGAAAAAAAATCCCAGTCATGAAACTCACTTTTCCTTCACTGTTTACTACATTGCCATATCCTCTTCAGAAATGTTGTGTCAATGTCAATTCCAAACAAACACTGCCAAACTGAATTTCTCCTTGTTTCTTCCATACGTGTGTGCATGAACCTCTGTTCTCATTATGTGTGGTTTCAGGGATGGCTGCACTTTATAAAGGGCTTTGGCACAAAGACACTTTATGGATCTATGGCATTAGTAGGAAGCGACATTCACACCAAGAGAAAGTTTGGAGCGGCCACTTTTAATCAGAGACTCCAGGACACCAGCACATCTTGAAACAAGCTCTGGCTGAGGAGGAAAGACAGGTCACGAGTAAGATAAGGTAACGCTCCCAGCCTGCCCTCAGGAGATGCTGGCATGCTGGGCTTTACCACACTCTCCCCTCTGGCTATAAAATAACTACATCTTCAGTTATGCACAAGCTCTACTTAATAATTGTGTTGTTATTATTATTGTATCAGAAATACACCTCTCTTACCGGGGACAGACTGGCTTCCACTTCAGCCAAATTCCACTCACTCAAAGATAAATTGGGATTAAAGACCTGCTGGGAGGAAGAATAAAATTAGAGCTCTGAAAGGTGTAATAGTTGGAGATGTTTGTGTCCTCAGCTGTCTGTGGAGATGCCAGGCTGTGCCCCAGCTGCTCTGGCACACTACCCAAAGCTCTGGCACATTAATTACCCAAAACTACAGGCTTGTGTATGCTGGTTTGTAGCAGAGCCAGACCAGCAAGGACTGAGTCAGGAGCTCTCATGCTGATCTGCCAGCCTTGCTGCCTGCCATTGGAGGGGTGGCACAGGCACCCAGTGCCACACCATAAGCCAGGGCAGCTCTTTGTGTCACTGCACATGCAAGTCAGAGCCCTTTTTCACTGCTCTTGCATCCTAGGACACTTCCAGATCCATATGGGTTTTTAAAAGCCTTCCAAAAGGCAGTAGCAGAGTGCAGATCACTGCTGTATCAATGCCCCAGTGGCAATTTCTTGAGAAGTCTGAGCAATGTGGGAAAAAGAGCTGTTATCTGGGGTACAGTTTTATGATTCATTCTCACTTTTGTGATATTCAGTTGCACAGAGAGAGAAAAGTGTGTCAGTAACAGGAAAACACCTCCTAATGAAAAATAAGAAACAGAAGCCGACGGAGCCAGAGATAGAACAGGCCATTAGAAAAGCTTCCCATAAAGTCAAAATCAATCATAGACACTTAGCAACAAACAAGTTGCTAGCCACATAGGAAGTGGCTTTAAGAGAATAAGATTGATATATTTTTAATGATTTTTCATTCCTGTTTATCCATGCAAGTTTACCATGTGCCTGCATCTGAAGCACGTTCTTAAGGAAGCATATCTTTGACATATACATTCTTTGCTATGTAGTTATTTGATTATTGGCAAAATCCTTTCATATACTAACTACATACAAGGAGAGAGAGAGTGAAAGAGAGAAAGAAACAAACCTTCATATTGCTTCATATATACTTAAGAAAACAGTATTCTAAAGAAAGGTGACGTGAAAACTGTGAACAGATAAATATCTCAGCCGAGAGAGAATTTGACATCATCTACACTTCCCAGAACATGAGGAAAGGGGAAAGATAATAGAGTATCTAGGACTATCTAAGATGCAGACTATGCAGAAAATAAACTAACCCACCCAAAAAATTTACCCAACTAGCTAGAGAGTTGTATTAAACCTATTTTACGTACATGTGTTAGGTCTCATGATGATATCTTTACCAAATGTTTTGTGCACTTAGAAGTTCAAATATGTATATTTTCAAAAGAAATATTAAAAAAGCATCATAAAGTCTGAAATCCTGCTTATAGGAACAGGCCAAATCAGAGCTGTGACTCTGCTGGCGACATGTGACAGATGATGCGCCACACAAGAGCAAGCAGCATAGTCCATCTGATCTACAGCCCAAAGGTACCGCTGGGAGCTTCCCGACTGTTCCCCGCAGCTGTGCCCAGGGATGGCCCGACACTCACATCCAAGAGGCTGGCAGGCTCCAGCCCATACTGCTGGCTCCTCAGCAGCAGCTGCAGCCCTTCCAAACTCCAGTCCATGCCCTCCAATGGGTCTGGAATATCTGTTCTGAGAAAAGACAAGGGGAAAACATCGCCACAAATGAGACTTGCATACATACATACAGAAAACAGGACTGAGCAGCCCTCCAACATGATGGTTATGCTTAAATCTCTTTTAGGAAACCAAGAGCCTGCTGTCAGTCCAGGTTTATCCCATATAACTTCATTTAATCTCAGAAGCACAACCCAGCAGAGCACAGAGGGGACTTCGTGATGGTAAAGCAAGTTGAGACTACTCCTCTTTGGTGACATGTGTGGTTTTGGGATGGACATTCTGTGCACATCTCTTCAAGACTGGGAAAATTAAAGCTTTCCTTTGAATAAATCCTTCTAGAGAGGGGCTTGGAATCTAGAATGGGCTGCATTCCCGTCCTCCTGGGTCCAAGATGCCTGAATTACTATTAACTAATGGCTTTTAGAGGAGTGACTTTCACTGCAGGCATTCAGCCTGCAGGCTGCATTTACTGGAGACATTCAGCTAAATGAGCAGCTGTGAGACTCTGCTGTATTTAACCATCCCAAAAAGCTACTAAAATTTCTCTTAAAATCCAGAGTCTTTAAAAGACTTTTCAGTCAAGTTTTTTTTCTAATAAAATGTTTTTAAGTAGCCAGTGTGGTTAAGAAGGAGGAATTTAGTTCTCTGAAAGGATCTAAAGAAAAATAGAAGCCTTTTTGTTAAGTCTATTGAGTGTGTGGGTGTGCGTGGGGGGTGTTCCCCTGAGTTGTCCTCACATTGTGCAGTTGCCATAAAGAATGAATTTTGCATTTAACTTCTACTTCATCCACCAAGCTGCAACCCTCCTCTCCTGCTACTGGTGAAGTCTGCTGTATTCTCACCGTCGATCTGGTGCTGTTGGGATGCCTGTCTCAGACCATGACAGACCAGCTCCAAAAGTGACACTGTGCTAACACCCCCTTCCAAGAGGACATCATTCTCTGGGTGACTGTCACACACAGGACACTTGCAAGCCCTGGCTTCAAAATAATGAACCCTCCATCCCTTTGTGTGAAACTTTTGCACTCAGTGAACACAAACTCCCAGCTCTACATCCTGTGAGCGACCTCACTATTTCAGGATTTTAAGGTGGTATTTTTATCTTTTATAGGCTTTTATAAGGCCTTGCTTTGGACTGCACAGCACTTTACTGAGCCCCTCCAGTTAAAGGAGACAAGCACAGTGGTGCAGCTGAGTTTTGTGGGTTTTCACTCTCAGTCAAGATGGGGAAGCCGAGCTGTCTTGCAGTGTCCTGGTACCTCCCCAGAAAGGTGTGGCCCAAAGGGACTGGCTGCCTCCTGAAGACAGACCTAGCACTGACTCAGGAAAAGTCACCTTGGAAAGCTAGTAGGAGGAGATGCAAAGGGAGAAGAGACTACAGAGAACTGAAGCAAAACAGAACCAAAGAGAAAAGTCTATTTGACTTCACAGCACAGAAGAAGAAAAGAAAAGAGGGCAAATTATTTCCCTCTCAAGCCCAAGCCTGGGCCTGATAAATGCTTTGCTGCTTTACCACATTCCCCTACAGAGATTGTACCATCAGAGGCACAGAGGTTACGATGATGCTGGACTGTCATCTTCCATCACTGCGTATTGGCACACAAGTGACACCCTTATTCACTGTCCAGAGAGACCAGTGACAAATATTTCCTTCTGACTTTATGTAACTGAAGACTCAACAAAACAAATGACAGAGGGCGCAGAAGCTGCTGGAGGTCTAGTGTCATCCAGTGGCCTGCAAGTCCACAGATGTGGATGCTGGTCTGGGCTCCAGCTTTCACTTGGACCTTGGGCAAATCCCTCTCACTGCAAAAAACCTCCTCCTACTCCCATGGCTCTGATGCACGTGCAGCTCTTTCTGACAGCTCTTTCTCTAATGGGTCCTTCAAACAGACCCTCAAACAGAACCCTCTACACCTGTGAACTGTACCCTGGGCTTCAAGGGTCCTCTAAACAGGTGCTGCAGGTACAGGATGGAGCTCACCAGGCTGCATTAGGTGACTTAAAGCCAACCTCCCTTTCCTGCCAGCTAATGGGAAACACACAGGACCACAGCTCCCCTCACCTGTCCAGCAAGGTCCTTCTGCCTCTTCTCTCAGGTGGTTGTGAGGTCCCTGGTGGGGTTGCACCGCAGCTCCCTTTGCCTTCCAAAACAGACTGAACCATGGCAACTGGGAGCACAGGGGGCTCGGAGCAAGCCCGGCAGCCTGGAAGGGGGACATCAGGCTCAGCAGGGGCTTTAACTCCAGGGCTGACTGGCTCTTCCTTGATCAGCATGAGGCACTTCTCTCTGTATCAGAGGCAAGAGTTAGCACCACACACACATCTGCTCCACAAAGGCATCAATGCTACTGGGAAGGGCAATAGCACAAGGGCTTTCTTCCGCTTCCCATCAGACTGCCCCACTGAGTCTTTCCATTCTCCTAGAAATAAACCAGCAACCTTGTTGTCTTTCCAGCAAGCTCCAGAAATGTGCTTAGCTGGAATATCTTCAGTAACTTCATTAGTCATAGCTATAGTGAATTTGCTCCATTCATTTTTTTTTTTTGCAAATATGGGAAATACACTTCCATGTGTTCATCATTCCTCAGATGACTGTGAGCTTGAGACAGGTTAGGCTGTCTCTAGGCTGGAGAGGTTCCTCTGAAAAAGAAAAGTCTCCACCCTAGAGATAGAAATGGGATCAGTAAGAACTGAAGTTAGGACTGGACCAGAAAGTGCTCAAGAGATCCCAGTGACACAGGTGGGATCTTGTGGCCCTGCAGGATTTGGAGCAGAAGCTGACAGTCCCGTCAGATGTTTCACTTGTTTGGAAGCAGATGTTTGCCTTTTTCCAATGGAAGAGACATTCCACGTTATTGCCCAGAGAAGCTGTGGCTGCCCCATGCCTGGAGGGGTTCAAGGCCAGGTTGGACAGGGCTTTGAGCAACCTGGTCTGGTGGGAGGTGTCCCTGACCAGGGCAGGGGGGTGGCGCTGGATGGTCTTTAAAGTCCCTTTCCAACCCAAACCATTCTATGATTCCTAGACAGACATACGACATTGAAGTTTTGAATAGTGGCACTTTCTATGTAAAAATCTATTCTGTACCACTTATAGGAGAGTTTACAGCTCTCTCTGAAACTGCACAAGTGGAGCCAAAGTGACGAGAGTACATAGATCAACAGGCACAGAGCATGGAAAACCATACTGAAAAAATACTATCTTACAACACTTCCTTTGACTAGCTTTGCTGCAAGACAGCATACGAGCATTTCACACATATGGGATGGTGTGTGACACTACAAAATCTTCCTTTGTCCTGTCAAAGCCGAAAGGAAACTTCCCTTCTCTCAAGAAACTCAACAAGTGTTAGTACCTCATTATTTGATAAAGTCTGAGACAGGCCCTGTCTTGAGAACAAAATACAAAGAAACATCAAATACTTCTCAAAAAAGATGAGTGGAAGTTCTTAGCATGAAATTCATTACTTTGTTTTGAAAGTTATTATCTGCTGTTATTATCCCTCCCTAATTCTGAAAGTCTCACCCACATTTCAAACTGGAAAAAATATTCCAGCACACCACCTCTATAGAGGTTTGCGAATCAGCCAGGAACTTTGGTAAAATTACAGCCAGTAAAAACTCTTTTCAAGTTATGCATGTCCATACTCAACTCACTTTGTTTTTAATCACAACCATGTTTACCTGTCATTTTCAGGAGGGGATTGCATATTTATTATGTTGGAAGGTGATGCTTCAGTAATATCAGATATGATGGGTCCACCAGAAATTGCAGGGCTGTTTAAGCAAGAGGCAGGTTCTGTTGATGGCTAAGAGGAAAGTAAAAACCATATAGGTTTATTCTTCTGAGGACCAGAACAAGCCCAATCTCCTACCTGAGATAGTTACCATTTATTCACTGTGCCCGTGAGTCCTCCTTGTATGGAAACCAAGAAAGCTTTTATCTACTGTGCAATATTATAATTTCCTCTGGTCTTTTCTCCAACCACACAGAGGTGCACGTGTAAAATAAGCACTGTGACTGAAGTGTCAGCTACTGAGAGGCTTTACCATGTCTGACATTTTGCTTAGGCTGCTTAGCTACCTCTGGAGGGAAAGCTCTGACACAGCCCAACAGGGGAGTTGTGTCTCTTGTGCCAGATCAAGTATCTTAACTGCATAAATGTCATATGTCTGGTGTCTGCTTTGGTGGATTAGGGTGGTGGGGATCCTTCAGCAACTGCAAAAATCTGGCTTGGGTCAGAAAGATCACTTCTAGAACATACTTCTTCCTCTCTGCCCTTGAGGTAAGCCAGCCTGGGGTAAGATCATGGAGAGTTTGGTGTTTAGAGTCTGCCTTTCCCTCCCACAACCCTCAGCTTCCCACATGAACACGACAGCATGAGCGTATACAAGCATGCGCCCCTCCCTGCAACAGGGGAGCAGAAGAAATAATGATGTCACTCAGCTTTGCAAACTTCTTCTTCGCTGCCAAACTCTTGCCAAACTGCCGACTCTGTATTACTGCTTCAAACATTTTTCCACCCTGGCCAAAGAAATCCCGCAAAGCTCAAAGGCTGGTGTCAACCTACCGACTGTATGAAATAGGGGTCATGGAGGGGGTCCATAGACAAATGCCGGCTGACCTTGGACACTTGTGGGGCTGAGATCCCATTGTCAAGCATCAGAGGTCTGTGAAGAGAAACAGGTTTGTTTCCCCAGCACATGCTGACTGGATCCTGGTTGCTCATACAAGGAATGTCTCTTAGCCAAGAACTGTTCTCCTCTGGGTGCTCCTTTTTTTTCTCAGCTGTAAGGTACTCTCTTGTCCAGTGTTATGGACAAGGAAGGGAAACAACAGTTTTGGATGAGGTCACCATTAAAAAAGGGCATTAGCCATATAGAGAAGGAATGAACTGCGTTTTCTAGATCTTATTTGAAAGATACAAGTAAAATAACAAATTAAATTCATACTTTCTTCTAATTGCTAGTGGTTTCAAGGTCTAGGCTGGGTCCTCGGCTCATTTAACTGGAGAGAGCTATGCTGAAATTATTAGTGAAATACTGGGAATCTGGCCTTGATACCAGCTCCCTCACGCCCAGGGCCTCTTTGGCAAAGCATATTTTCACACCTAGCATTGCATAAAAGGAACCCATGCCACCCACTAAATAATAAAACAGGGGGAGATGCAAAGCAGAGCCTAAACTCATTGCACACGGCTTTTAAAAAATGACTGACAGGCTTTTACAAGTGGCCATGGACAGCAAGACGTGGGTCTGCATGCTGGGTCCTTTAGCGGGAGTGCTTTACATTCAGTAAATGATTGAAACCAAAAGAAAATGAGAAGGACCCTCAAAAGGGCACTGCCTTTCCATCATGAAACTTCCTTGGATTTGTGATACAGTCCCAGAGAAGCTGGGTACTGGTATATTTTGCTACACACCCACTATTGTTAATGCTGTGATGATCCTGTAAAACTGCCTAGCAAATTCCTATTCTCCTCCCACTGTCCCACAGTCCAGAAAAGCATCTTCAGTGTTCATTTAGAAGACAGTGATTTGGCTGAGGGCACCAGGGGAAGCCAACAGTTTATTGCACAGTAATGTCTAACAGGCTTGACTGAAGACAATTCCTCGCTCTCTTCATCTTACAGACACTGCAGCTGGGTGTGTTGGGAGAAATTACGGGTTTGCTCAGACTCCAATTAGATCCCACAGCAAAGGGCGTTATGCATCACCACACAGTAACCACAGTGCTTGAGATCTCAGTGTTGTCTAACAGCTCATTTAAACACCTTTTTCTATTCTGTGACATTAACTAAAGACACAAAATAAAAAAGAACATTTGAATCACCCTTGACATGCACATTGTTATGGCATGTGCTACCTACCCTTCAGTACACACCAAGATATCATATCATAGCCAGCCCTGCAACAATTACAAATGCGTAAGTGCCCAGATCTCTGCTCCAGGAGTCACAAACAAACTTCCCCATCCAACATTTCTTATCAAAGTAACTTTGGCATCTAACTCATCTACAGCCTCCCGGGTCAGACATGCCTGTGGGACCTACAGACCTGTCCAAACTTACCCAGAGCCCCTAGTCAGCACTTGGGTCCATGCTGACAATTGCTCCAGGCTGTACACTAGGCTTCCCTGCAGTCATTTAAGAGAGAGGCAGGTAAACAAAACTGTGAAAGACAGAAGGGCAGATATAGGAGCTCACAAGAGCTTCCTCAAACACAGCCCCGCATGTTTCCAAGGAAGCAGAAACTCAAATTAACATGCACAATACCGTGCAAACTGCAGGTGGCCTGTACCAGTGTGATCCCTCTTCATAATGAGGTCACCACAGTGGCTGTGCAGATAGTTCTGTGCTCTTCTGCTCCTTTCAGCACAGTTTCTCACTAATGATTTTGTTTTTTCAAAAAGCAGTAGTCTAAGACAACACTTCTTGGGCTGCAAAGCTTCTAAAGGGAGTGCATGGCCCTAACTGTAGAAATTAGAGACCAGATCTGTCATCTCCTTTCTCTGCTTCCCCACTCCACTGGAGGAAAATTTCCCCACTCCTGAAACTCAGCAACTCAGAGCAGCTGATATCCTTCCCCTGAGCCCTCTTCTTTGTTACCATTCTCCATGCAGTGTTTATTCCTTCCAAGAGGCTCAGTAGAGAGGGTAGGCAAAGGTAAAAGTACCCAGCTTGTACAGATTGTCCTTCATTCAGTCCTGTGTTTCCTTTACAATCGTCACAAGAGTCAGCGAAAACCACGGACACTGATGTAAAGAAAATCAACCCCCTTGAGCAGCCATTCTTGGGAAGCCTACCTCCTTTCTCTGAGGCATGGAGAAGGTTCTGAGTTGCCAAATGCCACAAGGTAATAAATGCGGGAAGCAAAGGTGGTTCCTTGCCCTCAGCCTGAGCCACAAAGGCAAATTCCTCTTAGGAGCCTTTCTTCCCTCTAGATCACAAGCACCACAGAGCAAGAAATGCAAGGCTGCTCAGCTGGAAGGCACTGAGATTCCTAATTCAAGCTCCTCTATTCACTTGCCTTGAAGAGCTTATTTATGATTCTAAAGATAGCCCTTAGCTAATATCTGTCTCCACCTTCCTCTTTGTAAGGCCTGCACCACCCAATCTGTGTCTGATACACACTAATAGCCAAAACTAAAGATGTCTGTGGTTTGCTGGACCCAGCCCCACTCCCACTGATGACAAGTAGCAAAATTGGGACCTTTAGGACCAGAAGCAGGGTCCTGCCCTTTGCCCTCCCACTAGTTCGTGTTCCCATCTCCCACCGCACTCCATATTCCCCAAATAAAGGTCACGAGCTGACAGGGTGCTTCTCTAAAGGCCACTGAATGGGGAAAATCAGCAGGTCTGACTCGGCAATTCAGGCCATTCATTTCCCATCACCATGGTGCCCTGGTCTGGTGACCACCCGCCCAGGCAAGCTGAGCTTGTGCTTTTAGTGAGGGGGCAGCATTATGCCTGCAACGTGCGCACACCACACAAGGGTACTTACAGCTTCCTCTTTATCCCAGTGCTGCTGGGGCTGGATTGGAGCTGGCCAAACAGAAACTGAATCAGCTGTCAAGAGAGATCAAAATCTAGCATTAATTAGCAGAGTGATTCAGCACTCCGTGCTCTTGCAGCCATTCTCATCTCACACATTCCTCCCTCCTGATACCACCCCGAAGCTGAGAGCAGCCATGAAATACAGGAGCCAAATTGCATTAGACTTTGGAGCCCAAAACCTAACTAAGCTTTCCAAGAACTCCAGCAACCTGCCCAGCTTTCAAGAAACACAGCCAGGTGCCTGCTTTGTGTGAAGGCTGCTTTCTCCCCCATGCTCAGCCCTTTCTCTCTCTGCTTCTGTGCATGCAGAACTCCAGCGAGCCCTATTAGACATGGGAATTTTCCTGTGAATTACACAGGCAAACATTCCTAGTCCTGAAGTTAGACTTGGCTTCCCTAAAAGTCTTTAGAGACCTTTAAGGCTTTGCAAGTGAAAGAGACAACCCCCTAGGGGAGACCCTGGGTGGATGTCTTAGCTCTTCCAGTTAAGTTTTTAAGCCCTGTGAAGTTCAGTGTTGATGTAACAGGACACTAAAAAAGATCCAGAATTGCTTTGGAGAGGAATCATTTTAGCAAATATCCCCAGGTCACCTTGAGCCTAATGCTCTGCTTTGGCCTCCAAACAAAGAGAGCATTATTGTCATATATCACAGCTGTCTCTTACTCATTGCTCAATAGAACAAAATTGAGTTGCATAAATGCCTCTACAATGAGTGGTGTGGCTGGTCCAGCCTCAGAGCTGAAGGGAGGTTTGATAGCCCTGTGCATTTCTACCCAGTCCTGTGACTCTGTGATGCCACGTGAGGGTCAGAATGTGGCTCTGAGGGGGACTGGGAAATGTGACATGCTCAGTCACGTCAGCACCATCTGGGAATCACTGGGGAGGACTTTTCTAGTACTGGTCATGCTAGATTTTAAGGGAGATGGATCTGCAGTGCTCCTTCAGTCTAAAAGGTTGGACAGTAATTCCTCAACTATATCAGCAACTCCAGAAAATGTTAACAGTCACCAGAGGTCCCCATCAGGGCGAATGGCTAACCAATTCTGCTGCCTTCAATTTCAGTGCTGGCAGGACGGGGAGGCTCCTCCCTTGTACAGACAAAAAAGGAAAGATTTGGGAAGCCCAAAGGCATTGGTACAACCAGAACACAGTCAATACAGGGCGATTAGTGAGAGCTGCACTCTCTGGCTCAAGACTTCCACAGAAAACTTGTTTCTAACATCACAGCAAGGACTGACAGGGAAATTTAAACCTTTTGTTTGAGGGCATAATCTATGCTTTCTTAATGACCACATTCCATAGGACACGTAAGAACATCACGCAATTTGAAAGAGAGGGAAAATAAATACATGGCGATACCAGAGTGTGAAGATTATGTGACATGAAAAAAAAATCGGAGGACATACACCATGCAGTACAAGTGAGTTTGGAGTTTAGATGTCCACTACCTTGTTGATCACTTTCTGTTGCTGTGAGTGGTTCTGCTGGAGAGAAACAACTTCCCGCCAAAGAACTTCATTTTGCCTGCAAGTGAAACAGAAACTTTCTGTGAGTACAGAAACATCCCAACAGCTCATGGTGCTGCCATGATGCACAGCAGACCCAACTGAGCAACGGCTGTCTCACGGTGGGGCTCTTGCAGTACTTGGTTCTTTTCAGGTGTCCCAAACCAGGTCACACAATTGCTTTCCTTATTTTTCCTTGACCTCAAAAGAACTACAGACCAAATCACGGAGGAAAAACAGAGAAGCCAACATCTATAGGAGAGGGTAACAGGAGGACATGTATTTAGGTTTTGTGGAACATTTGGGCCAAACTCAGAATTACAGCAAGCCCTGATTTATGACTGAATGATTTGGATCACCAAGACTGTTGGGAGCCAAGAAAGCCCAATCTCTCCACAACCACCCACAAAGACCAAGAGATCTTATGTATTTTGCCTGCTGCAACCTCATACACATGGTGGTACAAAAGCATGTTTGGGAGTGACTGGAGCAGCTAACAGGATCTGAGAGAACTAGGAGGACTGTAATGATTTTGTTAATGGGAGTCATTGATTTCTTCCAGCACAGATCCTGTGTCTAGGTTCTAATTGCATAGAGTGTATCTATTTTCTGTCTGCAAATGCAGCACACAGGGGAATTTAAAGGCTTCCTTGAACAGCCAGCCCCAGAAAGTGGGATGCGGAGATGCAGAGTTCATTTACTGTGCTGCTTCCAAACCCAAGCGCCAACCAAGTCCATGCTGCAAAGTCTTTGCCAGTCAATTTATCTCAAGAGTATATGGATGTACCAAAACCAACAGGCCAGCAAAACCTACCATACAGGTGAAATTTATAAATTATTTTTGCTTTTTAGGCTTTCTAGTGTGGATCAATGCTAGAACTGGGAAGATAAGGTCCAGGGCTCGAAAGAACACAGTAGCTGCCCTTGTATAGCAACTTGTACAGCAAGAATCTCTGCAGGGAACTTTCTGTACTGCTAATGACAGCATTTTCAGCAAAGCAGCTTTCCTTAGTCTGACAGCTTGTGCTGGTGTTATGTCCTAATCATTCTTCATCAGTGTAAATTTCTTAACATGGTTTCAGCCTGGGATTTCTTGTCTGTCTTAGTTTATAAAACTTCATAGAATCATAGAATTGTCTAGGTTGGAAGAGACCCTTAGGATCATCGAGTCCAACCATCTACCCTACTCTACAAAGTTCTCCCCTACACCATATCCCCCAACACCACATCTAAACAGCTCTTAAACACATCCAGGGATGGTGACTCAACCCCCTCCCTGGGCAGCCTATTCCAATGCCCGACCACTCTTTCTGTGAAAAATTCTTTCCTAATGTTCAGTCTAAACCTACCCTGTTGGAGCTTGAAGCCGTTCCCTCTTGTTCTGTCATTAATTACCTGTGAGAAGAGACCAGCACCAACCTCTCTGCAGTGTCCTTTCAAGTAGTTGTAGAGTGTCATGAGGTCTTCTCTCAGCCTCCTCTTCCTCAAACTAAACAGTCCCAGCTCCTTCAATTGCTCCTCATACGATTTGTTTTCCAGGCCCTTCACTAGTTTCGTTGCCCTCCTCTGCACTCGCTCCAGCACCTCAATATCTCTCTTGTATTGAGGTGTCCAAAACTTGTTTTACTTTCACCAGTTTGATGCAATTTAACCTTTTGTCAGATGGAGGAAGGGAGCAAGCAAATCAAAAGGGAGAATAAACTAAAAGCCAGGCCAAATAATCAATACTGGTATTCCTCAAAAATTAAAAAAGATACAAGACTAGAAACTCTTTCATTGCCACTGCACCTGGATTTCATGGTGTGATTTCATGCATGTGCTAAGTGTGAGAGTCATTAAAAATTGAGGTAAAATAAAAATATTTATCCATTGCATGTAGGGTCCTGGACTGGAATGATGTTTCACAGTATATGGTGTTCTCTCAGGGCATTATAAAAGATGGGGTTTGGGTCTTTTTGATTATTCAAGTGCTTTTTAAACAAAGTTCTCTGCAAGGATTAAAATTCTGGAGGCATATAAAAACCTCTCCAAGTACACAGTTTATAAAACTGTATCCATTTACTAAATTTGTAGTTACCATGTCTGACTCATAAGATCCCAGAGTCTCAGACAGCTGGAGGTCAGGCAGCCACAGGCAAGCAGCATTGCATTTGCATGTTTTGCTCTTATACAACAATTTTGGCCATGTCAGAAGACACAGTCTTCAGAGAAATGGACTAAACACTACCAAAGTTCTTGTGTTCTCATGTATTTTAGGCCAGTCATGTATTTTGGAGGTGGAATCTCCAAAACACATTATACAGACAGAGAGATATTTTTAATTTTTTTTGATAGCTGGAATGGGCACCCCCACATTTCTGCCAAGAACTTTTCTAGGTGTGAGAAAGAGTTACATCTCTTTTTTTATCATGATTTCTGACTGGAAGAAATACCCTTATCTGAGCTAAGTCTCCAGGTTATACACCTACTTCCTGCATGGCCCCTGCTGTTCTTTCCTCATCTCTAAAGGGGATGAGGCTGAGTATTAATTAATTTTGTAGTTCATGAGGTATGCATAGAAATCCATATGGAAATCCTACATGTTATCATCTCAACAGATCTAGTCCCTATGATTAGTCCCTGGCTCAGCCTGTGCTCCCTGGGAAGGAGGTGTGTAAGGTTCCTCCTTTGAAACATTGCCCAAGACCGACAACTCTCAAGAAGCAAATGCCCGTAAGAAGCAGCCTGAGTAGGATTCAACTCACTGCTTCATGTCCTGCACTTGACAATCCATGTTCTCCTGTTGACTCCTCAGTATCTGTACCTCGTATAGCAATCTGCTGAGGTCCTCCTGGCGCATCTTGGTCTCCTCACTTTTCACTACTGACACCTGAGGAAGAAATATCAAAGATAGATTTTACCAACTATGCCCAAGAAGAGCATAGACAGACAGAGTCACTGCTGTGGCTCAGGTGCTGGACTCTGACACGCAGAAATACTGGGACAGGCAATGTACGTACAAGAGTTTAAACTATCCTTAGCGTTATTACTGCAAGGGTCAAAGGGATAAAATAGAGCAAAGAGCAGGAAAAATCCTTTCATACAGGCAGCAAGACATTCTCTACTAGAGTGGGAACTTATTTCAAATCAGCTTGTGGAAAAAAAAAAGGTATTTTGAGGAACAGGGCGGAATTGAACTAGATTATTTGAGTAATTCTTTCTAATTTAACTACAGAGAGACCAAATCCAACTTCATATTTTACAGGAATGAGCCTGAGGAACTGCTTTAAATTGATATATTACACTTGGATTTCCAGAAGGTTTTTGCTGAAGTCCCTTTTCTGAAGTCAGTGTGCTAATTTAGAAAGAGAACAGCCCTTTTGGGGCATCACTAACAGGTTAAAAGATAGAAAACAGAAGGTAGGAGTAGGTTATTGCTACTATAATAACAGAAGATGACTGTTGGGGGACCCTGTAGGAGTTATGCTGTACTCATCTAGAAAAGCAGCAGAGCAAACAACCACAGACAAAACTCTGATGGAAGCCAAGCCCTGCAAGCCAAGGTCCCCCTGCCCCAACCATACATGTGTATGGAGAGGAGAGAAATCAGAACCACAGGGTGATATCAGGGTTATACGGAATGGTCAATAGTATGGCAGCCCGTGGTCTGAAAGCAAACAAGCATTTTGAGCAGTTATGCCATGACCATGGAGTGCTGTCCTGGTCAATCAAACCCAAAAAAGGGGTTAGAAATGTCCAGGAGGGTCTCCTGCTTGGGGAGAAATGAAGCATTTGCTGCTTGAGATACCTGAGGGACAGGAAACAAATATTCACTACTTCTCTCCTAGCAGAAGGCCTGAGGGAAATGCATTAAATAAAGAGACAAGAGGCCTAAAGTAAACCATGGGAGCTCCACTACCATTAAACTGTAGGGCACATTGTTGAGGGATGTTTGGAACAAGCACCAGGCAGCCTCTTCACAGCAGCCATGTGGAACCTTCTGGAACGGAGGGCTCACCAGGGGCTCCGCAGAGGCCCAGCTGCCATGTATAGCCCCCCTCAGATCCCCTCACCTTCCTCTTGATGTGCTCCAGGAGGTGCTCATGGCCCTGCAGGAAGCAGAGGTGCTGGAACTCGGTGTCGTCCCGCTCAGGCTTGACGAGACCCCCCTGCTCGATGTTCACCACCTTCCTGAAGCCATCTGCGTGGAGAGGACATGGGTGAGGGGCCCACAGACCCAGGCCTTCCTCCTCACCTTTCACCCCCTTCACTTTTGAGGACACTTCTGTTTATTGTCCCTGCTATTTGAGCTGTGCCAGTGCTCAAGGCCACAGCTATGCCTCCTCCCCACGGCTGGGCATGATTTTGGGCCAATATCTATAAGAAATCCAGCATGAGGGCCATCACACTGGCCACCCCTGCCGATGGCCCATGCCATGAAAACCTCACCAGCAATCCCTTGGCCAGGAGCTGAAACGCCTGCTTTTAGGAAATCTCTGGTTTGATTTGGGAGCCAAAGGGATTTGGGGGAAGGTTTTTCAAAAGGCACAGACCAGCATCAGGTGCCACTTTTGGAAGAAAAAGGTCACGTGCACATTTGGCAATCTACTTGGAGCACACTTCTCCGAAGTCTTAGAAGGGTTTCTAAACCATATCTAAAGATTGGCCTAAAGTTTACAACAGAGCTACTGTATAGTTAAATAGCAAAGTTAAATAGTAAAGTTCCTTTACTCTTGAGCTTTGTGAATCAGTCATTGAAAAACTTCCAAAACCTACTATATCTTAATAGAGTCATGGTCTAGATGTGGCTAAAAACTATACTTAAATCTCCACAAAGAGGTGAAAATATCTGAAAAGCAAGGCAAGGTTTGCAGGGAGAAGTACTGTCTGTAATTAGTTCAGCAATATGGTTGGCAAAATGGATAAGCTCTGGGCTCTACCCTCAAAAGAGCAGTTTCTGAGGGAGGTGTCACAGCATCAGGCTGCTGGAAAAAGCCCCATGTAGAAAAAAATGCAAAAGAAATAATAATAGGTCATCAAATCGATGCAAGAGAAGCAGAAAACCTGTTAGCTGAAATTTCTTAACTCATGTCTTGCAATGTAATCTAACAGAAATTTCATGCTGGAATCTAAGGTCAAGGAAATCACCCTCCTGGGATCCCAGAGGCAAGCCCCCTTTGGCAAAATCAGTAATGCCACAGTAACGGAGATACGTGAGACCTCAACTTTTCTATCCACAGTTGTCCCTCACACCTCCTGTCCCATCTGCACCCTCCATTGCTCTCCCCGTTTCTCTAGGGCTCACATGGCCTAGGCTTTGGAGGTGGAACTTACACATGTTCAGCTGCCGGACGAAACTGGCCATGTTGTTGTGTTTGAAATATTTGGGCAGCACCTCTTTGGCAAAGCGTCCTTGGTCAAATACATGGAAGCTGGTGCCATTCTGCAAAGGAGACAAGAACAAAGGCGAAGTCAGAGGAGCATCCCTGACCATAAGAGGTGACTTCCAGGGAAGTCCTGCTCTTTGAATTGCCACCTTGAAGCTGAGAAGAGTGATAACAGCCTTCAATGACGGATGTGGTCCTTTCAGTTCTGGCCCTTTCAGACCTCTGTGACCACAGTTTTGATCTTTTTCTACTAAGATTTACTTAATTCAGAGCCTTGAATGTGAGAAAGAAACTGCAGATTTTTACACACAAATAGTTGGCTGCTTGTGATCATCCTCCCTTGCATGGACCTCACAGAAAGACTCTGGTGTCTGAAGAAGGTCCTGGAAAGCAGGAATTGCCATTACAACCTCTTGATTTAGTTGTATAGGTCTAACACCAACCCACCTGCTCCAGAGCATAGCAGCCCCAGAGGGAGAGCTGCCAGGAGAGCTGGCACAAGAAGCATAGCAAGGCAAGAAAACAAATCATCTCTGGAGACACCACACTGACCCAGAAGCCCCATGTACCTTCTCTTGATTATTTTTGAAAGTACACAGCCATGAGGGAACCCGTGAAAGATTAACAGTCCTGCTTTACAGCCCAAGCTAGCAACATGCATGTTAACTAAATAAAACCGTCGTTTCTGGGGTTGCAGTGTCAGGATTGGTGACTGCAAAACAATGAAAGCTGCCTGGGATGACTGGCAGAGACAGACAGGCTGCAGGCCACGTGCTTTCCCAGCCTGGCCTTCCACCTGCTGGCAGCTAAGCTGGTACGGAGAGGGCTTGTAAAACACAATGCACTGAAGTTGCCTTCAAACTGCAAACAGCAAGTCATGCAACCATTTTAAGGGACAGAAAAATTGGCAATTAATTTTCATCTGTAACCAACACTTAGGAAAAATGTTTTCTAAATCCCCAGCCTCAGTGTGTCTCCAGGATATGGAGACACAGGAACCACCTTAAATCCTATCTCTACTTGGATAGGGGGTGCAGCACAGGGAATTTGGAGGAATGAAGAATCATGATTTCAGCTGTGGAGTTTGAGGCACAAGTGGCATTTTTGTAAACTTGCAGAGAATGATATCTAGGGGCTCACACTGACTTTGCTCATGGAGAGAGAGAGAGCTTTAAGGAGGGACAGGCAAGGTGCAGAGACCAATGCCAGTGCAAAGACATCAGCAGATATTAGGGACCTACCACCTCAGCTGAAGCTGAGTTTCAAGGGACATCTAGCTAAAGACACCAGGGAGGGCTCTGACACCAGCACAGCCACCATCATCCTCCTGATGCGTTCAGCATTATTACCAGCACCAAGTGGCATGTCAGCCTGGAGGGGGTGTTACTTCGCAGTGGACTGGGTTTTGACAGAGAAGGACCGTGTTTCATAAGAGTGAGCACCCAGTGATGTGCAGGTCCCACCATGCACCCATCACAGGGTCTGTAGCTGCACGGTGTCCTCTCAGGGCTGCCTGGAAGTTTCTAAAACTGGGAGCATAATCAGGACCATGAGAAAGCTCAGTGACTAAAGAGGGGTCGGTGTGTGCCTGTAGCCAGCCCACAGTCTCTGGGAAACAGACAGCTGGCAAACCCTGCTCATTGCCATTACACTTCCATCACCAAATGAGGCCAATTCCCTCTGTGCCCAGGCTCATTTGCCAGCTCTAACAATTAACACTGCATGCCCACAAACACACAACTTTGGTCAGCTGTGCTTCTCACTCCTTGTTCTCTTGTCCTGCAAACATAACTGTTTGCCTTCAACAGTGTCGTTTGACCATCAACAGTATTTCCTACTGTTCCTTGCCCCTTGCAGCAGAAGCAGAGGCTGTCTTCCTGGAGTCTGGGTTAATGACGTCACCGGGAAACTTCCTGGCTTACTATGGTCCTCGGACTATTATCCATTATTGATTTTCCATGTAGGAACAGAGGAATCTGCAACTTGCACTTCATGAGCAATAAAAAGAGACTACAGGGAGTTGGGAGGGCTGGTAAGTGAAACTGGGGCACAGGTTATTTTTTCCTCACTCCTTCCAGTTGTATGCAATGGGAGGAACAGATGGATCCAGTTGATTAATACATGGCTCCATGGCTGGTGTCACTGCCATAGCTTTGGTTTCTTTGAAAATGGATTGGCCTATAGAGCACTGGGCTTGTTGATATCAAATAGGAGATACCTCTCTCATAGGGGGAAGATGGTTCTTGCCCAAGAGATTGTGGGGTTGATTGACAGAGGTTTAAACTAGATGTGAAGGGGGAGGGGGATAATAACATCAGGCTTGTCTGTGGCAAGCTGTGGGATATCACATCAGGGTTAGAAGGACGGGGTTCTAGTAAGGGCCTTCAGCCCTGAGGCACAGTGGTGGCACTGCACTGCAGTCACAGTCTTATGGAGATGAGCCAGCAGCTCCTGAGGTAATCAAGTCATCAGGGAAACACCTGTGAGACACTTCAAGGGGTGTTCCCCTAAGAAGACAGCACAGCCAACAGCGCAGCTGAAGTGCCTCTACATGAATGCAGACAGCATGGGCAACAAACAGGAGGAGTTGGAAGCTACTGTACTGCTGGAAAGATATGACATAGTGGCCATCACTGAAACCTGGTGGATTGAACCCTACAACTGGAGTGTGGCTATTGAGGGCTACAAGCTGTTCAGAAGAGACAGGTGAGGAAGGAGGGGTGGAGGTGTTGCCCTCTATGTTAAGAAATGGATAGAGAATGAGAAGATGTCCCTAAAGCCCTCCCTGTGGTTAGATGAAGAGAGAGTTGAGAGCTTGTGGGTGAGGATTAAGGGGCAGGCCAATATGAGGGACATTGTTGTGGGTGTTTATTACAGGCCACCTGATCAGGATGGGCAAGCTGATGAGGCCTTTTACAGTCAGCTGAAAGTAGCCTTGCAATCACAGGCCTTGGTTCTCATGGGGGACTTCAATCACCCTGAGATCTGCTGGGAAGGCTGCACAGGCCAGGAGGTTCCTCCAGTGTACTGAAGATAATTTCTTGACTCAGGTGGTGGAGGAGCCAACAAGGAGAGAAGCACTACTGGACCTACTTCTGACAAACAAAGAGGCACTGGTGGAGGACATTAAGGTTGGGGGCAGCCTTGGCTGCAGTGACCATGGAAAGATAGAGTTCAGGATTGTGGGTAGTGTGTGCAAAACAACAAGTAGGGCTAACTTTGACCTCTTCAAGAAACTGCTTGGAGAAATGCCATGGGTTAGGGCTCTGGAAGGTCGGGGGGCTCAAGAGGACTGGCTGGTATTCAAATATTGCTCTCTCCAAGCTCAGGATCGGTGCATCCCTAAGAGCAAGAAATCAAGCAAGGGAAGCAGGAGACCTGCGTGGTTGAGCAGGAAGCTCCTGAAAAAGCTCCAGTGGAAGAAGGAAGTTTACAGTGTGTGGAAGAAGGGACTGACCACTTGGGAAGATTACAGGAATGCCATTGGAGTATGCAGGGATGAAACGAGGAAAGCCTTGGAATGAAACCTGGCAAGGGATGTCAAGGTCAACAGGAAGGGGTTTTTCAAGTACATTGGAGGTAAAAGGAGAACTAGACAAAATGTGGCCTCCCTGTTGAATGAGACGGGGTGCCCTGGTGACAGAGGATGCAGAGAAAGCAGAATTGCTGAATGTCTTCTTTGCTTCATTCTTTACTGCTCAGGAGTCCCAGACTTTGGAGGTAACAGAGAAAGTCTGGATGAAGGAAGACTTCCCCTTGGTTGAGGAAGACCAAGTTAGGGAACAGTTAAGTAAACTGGATACCCGCAAGTCCATGGGTCCTCATGGGATGCACCCATGAGTGCTGAGGGAGCTGGCAGAAGTCATTGGTGGGCCGCTCTCCATCATCTTTGAAAGGTCCTGGAGAACAGGCGAGGTGCCCAAGGACTGGAGGGAAGCCAGTGTCACTCCAGCCTTCAAAAAGAGCAAGAAGGAGAACCTGGGAAACTACAGGCTGGTCAGCCTCACCTCCATCCCTGAAAAGATGATGGAATGACTTGTTCTGGTCATCATCTCAAAGCATATGGAGGAAAAGAAAGCTATCAGAAGTAGTCAACGCAGATTCACCAAGGGAAAGTCATGTCTGACTAACCTGATAGCCTTCTATGATGGCATGACTGGATGGATAGATGAGGGGAAGGCTGTGGATGTTGTCTATCTTGACTTCAGCAAGGCTTTTGACACAGTCTCCCACAGCATCCTCATAGGTGAGCTTAGGAAGTGGGGGTTAGATGAATGGACAGTTAAGTGGATTGAAAACTGGCTGAAAGACAGAGCTCAGAGGGTCGTGATTAGGGACACAGAATCTAGTTGGAGGTCTGTAACAAGTGGTGTTCCTCAGGGTTCAGTACTAGGTCCAGTCCTTTTCAATATATTCATCAATGACCAGGATGAAGGGATGGAATGTGGCCTCAGCAAGTTTGCTGACGATACAAAACTGGGAGGGGTGGTTGACACACCGGAGGGCTGTGCTGTCATCCAGCGAGACCTGGACAGGCTGGAGAGTTGGGCAGAGAGAAACGTGATGAAATTCAACAAAGGCAAGTGTAGGGTGCTGCACCTGGGGAGGAATAACCCCCTGCACCAGTACAAGTTGGGGGCTGACCTGCTGGAGAGCACCTCTGAGGAAACAGACCTAGGAGTCCTGAGGGACAATGGGATGACCATGAGCCAACAACGTGCCTTTGTGGCCAAGAAGGCCAACGGCATCCTGGGGTGCATCAGGAAGAGTGTGACCAGCAGGTGGAGGGAGGTCATCCTGCCCCTATGTTCTGCCCTGGTGAGAACCCATCTGCAGCACTGTGTCCAGTTCTGGGCTTCCCAGTTCCAGAAGGACAGGGAACTGCTGGGGAGAGTACAGAAGAGGACTACAGAGATGACTAGGGGCCTGGAGCACCTTATGAGGAAAGGCTGAGGGATTTGGGTCTTCTTAGTCTGGAGAAGATTGAGGGGGGATCTGGTCAACAGCTATAAATACTTAAAGGGTGGGTGTCAAGAGGATGGGGCCAGTCTTTTTTCAGTGGTGCCCAGTGACAGGACAAGTGGTAACAGGCACAAACTTGAACATAAGAAGTTCCACCTAAACATGAGGAGGAACTTCTTTACCTTGAGGGTGGCAAAGCCCTGGAAGAGGCTGCCCAGGGAGGTGGTGGAGTCTCCTTCTCTGGAGACATTGAAAACCCACCTGGACACGTTCCTGTGCAACCTGCTTTAGGTGGATCTGCTCTGGCAGGGGGATTGGATTAGATGGTCTCCAGAGGTCCCTTCCAACTCTGTATCATTCTGTGATTCTGTGGCTACAACTTCCATTTCAAAAATGCATTTAATTACTTCTGGTCCAATCTTCCACAGACAGCAGACACAGACAGTCAACTTTTCTTCTCCACTTTACAACAGCATTTAGTGTATATATAAGCCATTACCAGGCTTCCTCCCCATCTCTTCTCCTTCATGCTAAGAAACAGTACATAGGTCCTTATAGGTCCTATTTTCTAAGAGTTCCGATTATGTCCACAAGTCTTAGGCATGCACACAATTTCTCGGCTCCAACAACACTGATGGGTAGAAGAGAAGGATGCAACATGGGAAACTTAGACATCTAAAAGTCTTACCAAAAGCTCCTGAGAATATTGCTGTAGCCTCTGTTAGGTTGCAGGGAAGCAAAGCGTGGTGAGGGTGGTGAGTCAAGCAAGTGTAACAGAGGAGGGACTATTTATACATGTTAGAAAAATCCCCCCTTCTTGGTTTGAAAGTCCTTCTTTAAGGCACACGATTCCAAAACTCAGTGGCTGGAAGAGGTATATCCATGTAATACCAGAATCAGAAAGGAACGATTGCTTCAGGTAACAGTGCAGCTCAAACCTGTCTCAGGTTTTGAATGAAAACTCTGATGGACACAAACACATGACAGAAAGGCTGCTTTAGACTTTTTTTTTTCCTTTAAATCCACTTTTGTTATAGATTCTCAATTTCAGAGAAGAAGTTTATGCAAACAACTGATAACTGATGATAACAAATGACAACATTATTTGCAGCAAGTCTTAATCAGGTCAAAAGCACAGCATGGTATCACAATACTGTACTAGGGGGACAAATAAATCATCTTAATTCCCTGATTGCACTCAGTATATTAATGCCTCAGTGACAAATAAGCCAAAGCAAAGCAATCTATCCCAATGAACCTGTACAGACAGCACGTACGCACATCACCATGATCATCACACAGACTAGTTGAAATATCAAGTAAAAGCTCTTCCGAAATAGTGAGGGATTTAGGGTGCCAGTCTGAGATCTGCGTAAACTACAGGTTTCAGCCTCAGGTCTGAATGCTGTTTGTCTGCTGCCTTCTCCCAAGACATTTGTGAAAGGCTGATAACAAACACATGTGCAATAACACAAACAGTAGTGGAATTATTTAAGGGCTTTGCACCTTTTCTAGAATATTTAAGGGAACTGCAGATTGAAGCAAGGTAAAAAACATCTCTCAAAGAGTCTGGATTTTTAGAAGATTCAATATTAGACACCACTTAAGATGCTTTAAGTGAAATGTGTAGATATCAAAATGCTCTCAAACCAGTTGTCCCTTTGAAAGAGCAAAGCCACAATATTACAAATAAGTAAAATGAAGTATATCCAAAAGGTCCCCTAAGGAACTGCCAGTCCTTTCACTGTCCCAGCTGTAAGGAGAGCCAGCACTTGTAAAGCAAAGAAAAGATGATGTGATACCGTTTGGGCTTCACACCTGGGTTTCTCCCCGTGTTGCAGGCACTCAGTGCCACCCAATATTTGCTGTACTTACACTGCTCCAGCAGATGAGGTGGTTCGTTTCAGGGTCTTCTACCAGTGTCCAGAGTTTTGTTAGGAAGGCTGGCACATTGCTGGAGTATCCATCCATCACCAGAGGGTTAGGACATTGCTGGAGTATCCATCCATCACCAGAGAGCTGGGGGAATCCTGCATAGTCTTTGAGTGCCACGGCTACACTAGCCCCATGGCTCTCGGTGTGCCTGCCTCCCTGCACGTGCCTGCGGCCGACAGAGAACGAACCACTCAATTTTATCCCAGGCCAGTGGAAATTAGGCTACCGGGGAGTCACATCAGCAGTGCTGCTGCTCGCACTCTTAAAAACTCAGCACAAAGCGATGGCATCATCAGCCCCCGCAGAACAATACACAGAATGAAACTGCACTGCAGCCCGATCTCACAGAGCCCTGAATAAATCTGCAGCATCATGCAAAGGGGACACGTGCTGTGCACCTTCTGCTGGCCACTCAGTGAGTCACCGGGGTGAGCCCACCTGAGAGCGCCTGTGGGATGCCTGGGGACAGCAATGCCAGGTTTGTGAAGACATCTGAAGTGCTATTTTGGAATTGTCTTTTCCACCACATGTTTAGTGGTGGTTTGGGCAGTGATAGGTTAACAATTGGACTCAAGGAGGTCCCTTCCAACCTAAATGATTTTATGATTCTATGACTCCTGGACCCCATAGTCAATGTCCACAATAACATGAACTGTTCTCTCTTCCGACTGAGTCTGTATCCTGGTTCAATATCTAAAGGGTGGGTGTCAAGAGGATGAGGCCCAAACACTTGTCATGCAAAGGGGACACGTGTTGCGCACCTTCTGCTGGCCACTCAGTGAGTCACCGGGGTGAGCCCACCTGAGAGCGCCTGTGGGATGCCTGGGGACAGCAATGCCAGGTTTGTGAAGACATCTGAAGTGCTATTTTGGAATTGTCTTTTCCACCACATGTTTAGTGGTGGTTTGGGCAGTGATAGGTTAACAATTGGACTCAAGGATACTAAAGGGCCCTTCCAACCTTAATGATTTTATGATTCCATGACTCCTGGACCCCATAACATATCCACAATAACATGAACTGTTCTCTCTTCCGACTGAGTCTGTATCCTGGTTCAATATCTAAAGGGTGGGTGTCAAGAGGATGAGGCCCAAACACTTTTCAGTGGTGCCCTGGTGAGGTACACTGCGAAGAGCCAAGGGAGATGGCCAATGGGCTGGTGAGGCCACTCCAACAGGGAGATGTGCCTCAAGTGATACCATAAACCAGCAAGATAACAACTCTCTGAGGCTCAATTTGGAGTTTTAGAAAGGAGGCACTCTTCATTGCGGCACCGGGCGCACAGGAGATCACTCCTCCTAGAAGGAGGAGGTGCCTGGAGTGTGTGTGTGGAGGCGGG